GCGTCGTATCCAATCCGCGTCCGCGGTAAAAAAAAAATGCGTTCCCGAATACATTCAACGCGTTATACATCCAATTGTGAAAACGCACGAGTTGTCGGAGAACATTACGTGTGCACGCGCGCACGCGCGCACGCGCGCACGCACGCACGCACACAGATGCGCGCGTGCGTGCGCGAACGTGGGATCGCGGTTGTCCTCGTTGAAGGGGTGACGCTGCGAGTGGTGCACTGCGCTTCGCGGGCGGCTCGCAAGCGCGCGGGGGGACAGCCACCGGGGTTGAGCACGCGGCCCATCGCCACGCCGATGTTGAAGTGCCCGAGAGGGTCTGAGCGCCGAGCGCTGGTTGTTCTCGTTCAATTATTCAACATGTCCCTTCCCCGAGCAGACAACCTCTCAAGGAATTTTTGATTTAAAGCGTTCGTGACTGCAGGGATTCATATTCTTGGTTGTTTCGGTAAAGCCACGTGGAAGGGAAACAAAATAAAAAAAAAGGTTTTTTTGTTACACACTCTTAAAAAAACAAAATAATGAGCAAGTCTGAAAGGTCACAATTTCATTATGTGTGCGGTAGATATGTAGGGTGCCGCGGTGGCTCGGAGATGTTAACTACCTCGCTTGGTATACAGGAGGTCGGGGGTTCGATCCCGACCCTGACGATGCCCGCTGTGTGTTTGGAGTTTGTGTGTCTCTCTCCCCGTGGTCGCGTGGATTTTTCTCCGGGTCCTCCGGTTTTTCCCTCCACATTTAGAATCAACATCACGCGTTTCGAGTATTTAGCTGATATAAATGTCCACGTGATAAGCCACTTCGTTTGAGCAATCATTCGTGGCCAGGTCGCTTCTGAAAAAAAGAGCTACATAGCTCAGTGGGCCTTACCCGGTGAAACAAAAAAAAATAGTTTAGTTAAGTAACCGCCTGACGCACGTACCTGCCTCTTCGAATAAGGAACACACGCGTCGGTGCTTTTGTAGCATTACAGCCATGGACCTGTTCGCAGGAAACTTGGCTTGGAGTGATGGTGCCTGGAGGTGGTTATTTTTAGTTGTTGTTCCAAATGTTCGGAGTGAGACGTTCCCCTGCCGAACACCTGCGTTCTGAGCGCACGCCGTCACTGCGTTCCTTTATAATCACGTTTTTTTAGTAGCAGGTAACAGAACAGCCCTGCGTTTTCTCTCTCATGTCACTGCTGGCAGATGGGCCACAAATCAGAGGGAGCTCTAGAGAAAACCTATCTCTGGGTATTTAGCCTACTCTTCCACACTGGCTAGATGATTTGGAAGAGGTGGGAGTAATCACACTGTAACCCACCACACACGAGTTGGCGATCAACTGACTATAGCATTCTTGATTTGAAGCTTTCGTGTGACTGCAGCAATCCATACTCTTTGGTTCTTTCGGTACAGTCACATAAGTAGAAAAATAATAGATCACGAAGTTTCTATCGCAACACAAGCAATCGTCATCAGGTGGGACAACCACAGCAATCGAAACGTCGTGATCTATTATTTTTCGACCTGCGTGACTATAGCATGCCATTCATTTATACTGCTGGGTGGGTGAATAGAGGAGGGGAGATGTAAGAAATCTGCACCATTGTTTCAACTGCTACCATGGGAGAACAACCTGACAGCCACTGGGTTGTAAATGCAGTGTGCTCACCATTGCATTATGGCAGGATCCATTTTCAAAGTTTTAATTGGAGCAACATGCCCGTGACAGCCAGTGCACCTATGCCCACCATCCAATTGCTTCCCGGTCTTTTTTCACTACCACGGCTACAGTCATTGTTGTGTAAGCCTGGAGTAGAGCCATATATATAGAGGCTGCTACGTAAGCAGTTGTTTGTGCAAAGGGGCATCATTAATCCACTGCAATACGAAGGCCTCCCTGAGCTGTCACCACCTCTCGTGATCCTGCGATGTATTCATCCACCGAGCACCCGAGCTGACTTCAACGCTTCATCTCCTATCGGACGCGTTCCGTTCCTTGGCTGCCACTTTGTGATTATTCTTGACCATCGGCCATCATCCCTTCTCGGGGTATGATCCTGCGCAAAAAAGCACACTTAATTCATTTTGAATTATGTATATATGTTGAACTTCTTTTCGCGCCGTACGTAGCCAACCGTGTCACGAGCCTAGGGGGGATTTCCTCTGCTCCACGCCTTCTTCTTTATGCGTCTCGGTGTAATTCCAAGCACGTGCGTCCCTCCAGGCTCCTCTGTGCACTTTGTTATTCCTCCGTTCCATTTTGTCTGCGTTAACGATCACGTTTCTGAACCACGCGTTGTCAGCAGGTGGTTCGCACCCGTTAAAGATTCTCCGGTGGAGCGAGCAGCCTCTGTTTCTGAGCAATGTCCTGTGGCGGGCATCGTCGCTCGCCACCAGTCGCAGAAGTGGCACGACAAATTGATGTCATTCACCGCATCGCGCGCCTTCATTCAGATGCGCTTCTGCGGCCGTCTGGAACGCTCTTCCTTCCGAAATTAGGAAGCCACTGGAGCTATTCACTTTTAAATCTAGATTGAAAACTCATTTATCTCCAACTACTTTTTGTGTTTAGTTCGTTGTCCTTCCCCGGCACCTCCGATTAGCACGGTTGGCTATGTACAGTGCAAAAGAAGTTCAACGTACATTCACTGAGCAGTGAGTTTGGGAACCTATAAACAGTCAAATTAACGCCATAGTTTCTCGTCTGACTCCACTCTATAGTTAGTTCCATCCTCATCACTTGACTTAGCTGAACCAGCTATTTACCATTTTCACTCACGAGAATTAATCAAGTTTTCGATGTGCTTGTTTGGGGAGGTGACACAGTATATATACACACACACACGTGTTTTTTTAGTTTTAAATTTGTTATGTTCGTCAATATTCGTTGCGTACTCCTGCGGCCATATTCATTAAAGCTAATTCCTTGTTGACAGGGCACAAAAAGTAAAATTAATTGCCCTAAAACACATAAAAAAAAACTTCACTAAAAGCTTTCGTGACTGCAGGAATAAATATTCTATGCGTCTATTGGTAAAGCCACGTAGATAAAAAATAATAATTAAAATATCACGACGTTTCAATCGCAACACAAGCAATCGTCTTTTTTATTTTTCTATCTACGTGGCTTTACCGAAAGACCCATAGAATATAAAAAACCCTTTTAATTAATGTGGGTTGCAATAAATAAATAAATAGGTCACACGATCCCGCTAAGTGCTCTTCGTCAGAAGCCTACACACTGCAGACACTTTCAGCTGCAAAATCTCTGCGTGCTCGACGCAGGACTAATGGTGCTGTGGAACTGAAGTATTAAAGTAAGGTTCGTCTAAGATAAGTTGATTAAATTTGGGAGCCGCTGTGGCGAGACGTTAACTCCCTCGCATTGTGTGCAGGAGGTCATGGGTTCGATATATTTGGAGTTTGAATGTTCTCCCCGTGGTCGCGTGGATATTCCCTCCACATTTAGAGACATGCCTTTAGAGTATTTGGCTGATATACATTTTCCGATGATAAGCCACTTCATAGACCTATCAATTGTGGCCGGGTCACTTCTGAAAAATAACTAATATAGCTCAGTGGGCCATACCTTCTAAAATATTTTTTCGTAGTTTCACTTTGTGTTACAAATAGACAATTAAAAATGCTCCTCGAACTTACATATCGTTGGCGTGTTATTTGTTCTCAGGTCTACATACAAATACTTTGTACCCGATAGTACATGTTGAAAAATAACGACCCGTTGTTTTGAGTGTTAAAATCGTAGGATGGCTTTAATTTATCATAAGATTTCCGCAGCCACTCATACGTCGTCTGTGGAAAAAGAGCTTCATAGCTCATCGGATTTCTCCAGAATAAATACAGATTCTGATTCTGAAGTCCGTGCAGAACACGCAGCCTAACCCAGAACACCGCACTTGGCGCAGTCAGTTTGTACCAGGACTCTGTATAGGGCATTGCCGAGGGAGTGGAGGTTGTATCTTGCAGTGAATGCTATGTTTGGCTATATCTGCGAATTGGACTGTGTCTGGCTGTGTCTAGTGGAAGCTATGTCTGGCAATGGGACCTAAATCTGCGTACGTACTGTATATCAATCAATTGAACTATGTATGGCTATGTATGGCAATGGGACCTGTATCTGCGTACGCAAAGCAGTCAATGGGATTATGTCTGTCAATGGGTCCCGTATCGACATACATTAGCCCAATGTACTGTGTCTGTCAATATGATCTGCATCGGGTTGCCTATAGCAATCAGTGGAACTGTATCTGGCTATGTTTGGCAATGGGACCTGAATATGCCATATATATATCTGGCGGTGTCTGTCAATGGGACCCGTCGTTTGCCCGCGTCCGACGATGTAAACGTCACGGCCGATGCACTCGGGCTGCGTGCCGCTTCCAAGGCTCTGCAGCGCCGCACCCTTCAGACTCAATTATCCAGCTCTGGCCCGAGCAGGCCTCGGCTCAAAACTCGGATCACAGGATAGTGAGCACGGATCTGCGGTGGGGGCCAGCCGGAGCGATCGGCTCCCGGCGGGGTTGTCTCAAAGGTATTCTTCACCGCCAAACCCCAAGGCAGCTTGCGATGCTGATTACGTGACCTTGACCTTCAGGTTTATCACATTCGCCCCCCCCCCCCCGAGGTGCAGCAGCAACCAAAGGCTGCCCCCCTACTCCCCCCCCCCCCCCCCCTTTGCCAAGGGCGGTGAGATTCCTGTGGCCTTCGCGGCTCCCAGATGGCCCTGGAAAGGGCTATTGATTATATTTCATTGCTGCACAATTGAGGTGTAGGAATGTTCTTGGAGAGCCGCCTACCTTATTCTTCATCCCTACAGCGGTGCTCGAGGGCCGGGAGATGATTCATCCGTGTTTCTCTTTGCGCGTAAGAAAAATATTTCGTACCGCAATGTCTCATCCCCCACGCCGATGCCTTTCCCAATGGAGGCCTGTCGGAATGGCTGCAATGTGGCCCGCTTCGTCCTCTGACTCTGGAATTTTTCTTGCTTAGATAAAATTGAAGAGGCCAAAAAGGAACTGCAGGATCCCGACAACCAGATCAACACAAGCGGCACAGGTAACGAAACAATCTCCTCTGTGTCGACAAAAATTGGCAGTCCTTTTTCAGTCCACTGCTGGATGAAGGCTCTCCCCGTGCTGTGTTGGTTGTGGGGGTTGTGTGACTATACTTCACTGTGCTGGTCAGTGTAGGTTGGTGAAAAAGATACGTGGGAGGAGGGGTGTGGGTGAGAATGGAATGCCTGGGTCAGATATCACTTGCTACTGATGTTAGCTGTGGCTGGAAATCAAACTGATCGCCGGGTTGATAGCTAACCACAGATCCACCACTCTACTCTGCCAAACATATTTAATATTGTGGCCTTAAATAATGAATGAATGAAATAAAGCAACGCATGTAAACTTAAAGCTGGAATTTTTTTGTTATCAAAGTGTAACACTCTCATGTATATATATGAAAAATTCACACTAAATTTTTGGACAATTGTAGTTCGTTATTATTTAAAAAATATGTCATTTCAAAGAGTCTAAAGGCATGAAATATTGCTATGGTTTATTTATCCATATCGATACGTATAAAAAAAATATGCCGGATAACATGCAAGTGGATTTACCCATGAAATTCCGTTCATACGTTACATCTGCAATTACAGCAGCCATAATCATCTCTAAGCCGCGCACTCTGCGGTGCCCGTTCTGTCTCATCTTCTTCTTCTGCCAGTCCCACACGTGCGGCACTCTGTCGCGGCGCCTCCAACGCAGACAATAATTATTAGGTCTGCAGCTGTAATGCGCCGATAATGTGTCCTATGCCGGAGATGTTGATTGATGGGGCGCACTTATTCGCAATCACTCAACACCCGACCCACAGATTGATTTTGAAGATCCCAAGGCAGTGCCAATGGCTTGCCTTTGCACGTTTGCGATTGTCAACGAGCGCTTGTTACTTACTTACAATTGTGGGGGGAGCGGTGGCGTGGCGGTTAGGGAACCCGTCGACCCGAGTTCGATTCCTGCTCACGACCAATAACTTTTGGCAATAATTTGGACAAGTCCTTGCCCTCCCCTCCCGTCCGTTGACTTCGCCTTAAATAGCTACCTGCTGCGGTGTGCAACACTAAACATCTGCACTGGGGAGACAGAGGCGGCCGGGAGTGGTGTTGGCCTTCGCAGTTGATCACTGACAGCACTTGCTCCAACAGTCTGTTAACAGCTATCGGAAGGTGGTGGGTCTTTGTCTCTGTAATTTATATATTTTTTCTTCGTCCAGGGCTGTCTCCCAGCCAACACTTCCCACGCTTGGCCACTTGCTCGCAAATCTTCCAGAAAGTGTTCCCCGTGTATCTTCTCGAACGTCAAAATAAAATCGGCCACTTGACTGCCCCGTTAAGGGTCCATTACAGCCGCATTCGCCAATTGCCGCAGCTTACCCAAGCCGCCATCAAACGGTGATAAATGTCCACAAATATGATTTGGGAAAATTGATTGCTCCATATTTTTTTTTCATTTCAGAGAGTGCAATTACCGATCGTTGTGGCCTCAATTACCTGGATTGAAAGGCTATTAAAAATGTGCAAGTGATAAATTGAGGGCCCATTACACGGACAGGTAATGGGCCCTCACCTGGTTCTTTATAAATAAACGTACTCTATGTGAGCGTTAAGAAAGTGTACTATTGACGAGTCAGTGTAGATTTAATAAAAGTGGTTTTAATTGTGTGTTTGCACTCGATAAAGGATGCACAGAAGAGTAACATTTTATTTTTAGTTGTTTTTTTCCCCCCTAGGCAACTATTTGAATGGATAAACAGGGTGAGCCAAAAATCAGGACACATGGGGGTTATGTAATTTATTATGACACAGGCATTAAACGAAATTTATTGTTTATTCTTGAAGCTAACACTTCATCTATTATCATCACGAATGTCTCGTTGTCTTCTTCCTGTGGGAGTTGTCACCTCAAATACCAAAAAACTCGACCAAGATGAACCGTGCATGAATTGAGACAAAACTTATTTGGTGAACCTCACCAAAAAAGTTCGAGAAATGAATTTCTAAAGAGCATTCACGCATGCATTAATGTTAATGGAAGTCAGTTTTAACATGTGTTAAAATAAATAAAATAACCCTATGCGATTTTTTATTTAAATAAATATACGAACCCTATGTGTCCTGACTTTTGGGCCACCCTTTGTATGTGGGATGCTGCTATTTTTTAATGGCTATCAACCCTTGACTTGCAATTCGGAGGTCGCCGGTTCAATCTCCCAGTGCAGCACTTGAGACAATGGGGCAAGTTCCCTAACCCCCCCCCCCCGCCGCTCCCTCAATCTCTGTCCACTCAGAAATATAAATGGGTTCACTGCTGTAAAGTCGATCGGTAGGTCGCATGTGCAGGAGTCAATTATTGGTACTTTCACCTCTTCCAAGGCTTCTGGCCAATGTGGAATAATAGACCAAAATACCCTCTCCTCTGGACCTCCTTCTAACGGAGGCCTTTCCGCCAGCAGTGGTGGGATCATGGAATCTTCCAGAGCCGCACCTTTACCCGCGTGTATTTACTATATTTGTGTACAATAGCTAAATAAATGAGTAGTCCAATTTTACAGCCTCGAGCGAAGGAGCAAAGAGGTTCACACCATCTGGGTGGGAAGGTTGCCTCGCTGGTTTGTTGAGTGGTGGTGGTGGTGGGGGGGGGGGGAGATGGTGGGGTTGACGGGGAGCGTGGGGAGGAGTGAGGGCTGGTGGGTGGATGGAGGAGCAAGAGGGGGCAACAGGAGCCGTGCCTCAAAATAGCTCCGTTGCGTGGGTGGAAAAGCCCACTGCGTCATGCGCGCGCGTGGGAGCCGGGGGGGGGGGGAGACTTAATTATTCACGGAGGTAGAATCCCCCATCCCCCGTGCACACCTCGTGGAGAGCCAGCGAGTTGTCGCCTGGCTGCCAGGCACTCCCCCGCTCCCCTGCACAGATAACAGAATGCCCTTTTCATTGGCGCACGTCGCGGCACAGCCCACGCGCTTGGCTTCTTGCGCGCTGAGTCATCTGACTCCCCGGTGCGATGTGCTGCTCTTCAAGAGCCACATTTTTTTATCTTTCCGCCGGAAGCCCAAATGAGGCGATATTCTTTACTGCGCGGCAGGCAAGGGACGCCTGAGAATGTGAACGCGCGTAAGGGACGGCGTGGGTTTGTGGTGTGCGTGTGCGTGCGTAATGGGGTTGGATTTCTTTTAAAAAATCTAATTCGTTTCTCGTTCGTTACCAGTCATGTCGCGCAGCTATTTCGAACCCTTAAACCTGTTGGAATGTGTTTTTTTTGCGGGAATTACCAAGGCATCACGCTGTTAAGCGTGCAGTGAAATCTTAAAGCGCCTCTGAGAATTCATGACGGTAGGCACATCCTGAGCCAGAGTCATTGCGAAAAAAATGATTCTACACACACGCACACCCATTCAACTCCATTGTGCGTGTTAATTACTACCCAATTATCCAAGCCTCTTTGGCAACAGAGGTCATTCATTTTCAAGGGGGTCTTACCTGGATGAATAAAGCACATCAATACATATAATTGGATGTTCAACAATCTGAGCTGTATTTAGTTGCATTCATACACTACATTGAAACATAAATAAATGATGTCTTCTATCACATTCTGATGCACGTAATATTTTTTGTTCAAAGTACAGCCCTTTGTCAAATTCTACTCATGTATAAAGGCCTTCCCACACTGTGTTGGTCATGGTTGTTGTTTGACCTTACTTCACCATACTCGTCAGTGTTTTTTGGTGGATGGTGGGCCCGGAAATTATACGATAACTGTGGTACAATTCCTCTGCAGGTATAATCCAATAAGGATGTGTGGTTTTAGTTCCTTAAGTTTTGCTGCTGCATTGGTGTTCATTTTCTCTTTAACGTTCATGGTTTTTTTCATCATTGTCATCAATTTCATGTTTTTGTTACAAATGAATGTGAATCTGAATGTATTTCCATATACTAGCAATTCACTGCTGGATACATATTTTATATTTAATTGCCTAAACTTATAGTAATGGTCAAAGTTTTTTTTCAAGCAAAACCCTTGAGTATTTCCATAAAAGCTCAATTTATAATAAGATATTATAATTACAACGTTTTCATTACAGCTGAAGCGTAGTAAATCATTTTTGTTGTAAATTAAATCATCTCCGAAAGAAGCTAATTGTGGTCATTATTGAACGAGTATTGGGGAGGTAATTCACTTATCTTGGTGAGAGCATCTCACGCACGGGAATTATAATGCGAAAGTTTATACTCCTGTGTTACCTTGCTTAACGAGTCAAAGAAGATGACTTTATTGATAGTTGGTCATTTGACATGGACTATTGCTTAGCTGGAAGGCAAGCAACGGTCGATGGATATGTCAATATTTTTGGAACCCTATGGCATGAGTGGTGAATTGTTTTTTTGTATCTCACATTGCTTTCCTTTGATCAAGATTTGCCCAAAAAACATTGTTGCAGCCAACTTATCTCCGTATCGCTCACCACATTTGGTTGGTAGAAATAATTTTGGTCCAACATTCAGGTATCATTTTCAAAGATGTGCAATACCAAACACACGTTAATCCAGTTGTTCTGTGAGGGTGATGTCAAATAAGAACCCACTTGGAACTCTCACAGAACACCCCCATACCTCCACACCCCACATGCGTTCGAGAACAGCCCACGGAAGAATATTTCCACGGGGCACACTTCCCACATACCCTGCTAGGCAGGAAATGCTTCTTATGTGGAAGTCAATCTGATGTTATATCTATAATTGTATATCTCAAAGCTACAACTTAGCCACATTAAGTAAAAAAAAATCTAATTGGAGGTGATAGTTTGTTATTTGCAGTCATTGGAAACAGGACCTAGACCCATTAATCCGCTACAATTAATTACCCGGTTTAATCATTAGTCACTGAGAGCAGGATTAGAACCCAGGTCTCAACCGTGCCGGCTTTGTGCTCTGACTCCCGAGCCACCCGACCACGTCTTGTGGCTCGGTGTTTAAACTCTCGGTCCACCGCCGGGTGTCTCATGCACATGAACGCCCCATTTCTGTGTGATCCACCAAACCTGCCTTCTTTGCCAATCAATCACATTCATACGTCGTGCAGCCACCACGGCTTAATCTCTCATTCGGTATTTTTGTAATGCTCACAGGCTGGCTTGGAGTAGGGGCTATCGGCATAATGCACTATTACGAGCGTATAAGGTATACGTATCCATAATAATCCTACATTATTATACCCTATATTTCTATACTCTTATGAACAATTTAACACGTAGGCTTTCGCGACCAATATTATCCATAATACAGGTTTTGTCTCGGTTAGATCACGATCTAATCCAAAACACCTGTATTATGGATCTTATGAACAAGTTTATACAAATCCTATAAACAGGTTTATAAACAATTCCCAAACAGCGTTTCAGACTGTACCTGGCTGAAATGAATCACTGGCTGCTACGCTGAGCTGCAATCAATAAATCTCATTGTTGCGGTATATACATTTCTCATGTTAACGATGCCACGAGGGGAGCTGCCGTCTGGAACTTAAGAGCCGTAGGTAGACATCTTAGTTCCCTGGGCAAGGTGCCAGGTGCCACTATCACGCTCTCCCAGCAGCAACAGCAGCAGCACCACTACCACCACCCCCCTCCTCCCACCAAATATTTAAACTACCCCAGCCGCCACTGCTTACAATTTGACTACAGATTCAGGCTGCGCCCCCTTCGAGAGGGGTGCTCATGCCGCCCATCCCATCCTTCCTATGGCACTGATGGGACCGCATTGGGCACGTCTATGCTGAACATCTACCCCCCCCCCCCCCCCGTGCTACGCTGTAAATCTCCGTGGTTCAAGGGAATACCGGCGAGCCCTGCTGGGTCTAAAACCATTTACTATTTTTTTTATTTCACCAGATAAGGCCCACTGAGCTGTATAGCTATTTTTTTCAGAAGCGGCCTGGCCACCACAAATGATAGCTCAACGAAGTGGCTTATCGCGTGGAAATTTATAGCAGCCAAATACTCTAAATGCGTATAACTAAACTTAGAGGGGAAAGCCAGAGGACCCACAGAAAAATCCACGTCACCACGGGCAGAGAGAAGACACGCAAACTCCAAATTTATACAGCCGTCAGGGTCTGGATAGAACCCACAACCTCCTGTATACCAGGTGAGATAGTTAACATCTTTCCACCGTGATGCCCCAATTTGTTGTTTGACGCCTCAGCAGGGCGGCGCAGGAGAGGGCCACCCGCTATGACAGAGGCGATAGGTACATGATGACCAAGAGGTGGGCTATATGACTATTTAAGTATTCGATGTTTCGACCGATTTGATGGTTCAACTAATCGGAAAATGGTAACATAATTGGGGGAATGTCACCACCTCTGTCCCACATGTGCCGCTGGACGGTAGGTTATAGACGAATATAATTTTTAACTGATTATTTTACTTAATCGTTTAGTCATCCCAGCTCCGATCGCAACTATAAATTATGGTACATATGCATGGCTGTATCGTGCATAGGATTACGGTTTGCGCTGCGTATACATCTATAATACTTCTATAATTGCACAATGTGTGGATGCTGCCACGGTGTGTGGTTAGCACACTTGACTTGCAATACAGAGGTCGCGAGTTCAATCTCCTGCTGTGCCAGCTGAAACCAATCCCCCCGCATCTGTCCACCCAGCAGCAGCAGCAGTATGGATGGGGTCACCGCAGTTCGCCGATGGGCAAGTTGCGTGCGGAGGGGAAAAAAAAACACGTATGGGTGCTGTCACCTCTGCCAAGGCGTCTTGCCAGCGCTGAAGAGTAGGCCAACATATACGCTCCAGAGGGGATTCCGTAGAGCTTTCTTTTGGGCAGGCACCTTCCAGCAGCAGTGGCGCACCTTAATCTTCTTTTTACGTGTACGGTATGACATGCGCGAGCTGATCTCATTTTGTGTTTCCGCGGAGCTGACGCGCCCACGCACGCATTGCCTCACCCTGTGGTGGGTAACAGCAGGTCTTTCGCGCAAGCTGCCGCAGTAAATTGGCCAGACCTGTCAAGAGAACATCAGTCCCTTCACGGTAGCGGTGCCGGCAAGCGGTATCGTGGCCTCAAACGTGGCGATCGAGATGGTCGAGATGAGTTCCAGCGAACCTCAGTTTTGTGAAGTAAGGGGCACACACTTACCAACTCTCCGCATCGCTTCTGTTGTTCAAGGAAACATTGTAAATGTACTTCTTAGGGCACTGCGGGGTTGTCGTGTAGGGGGGCAGGCAAGCGGGCCTCCGAGTGCAGCGTTATGCAACAGACAATTTGGTGCACAGCATTCGAAAGGCCGTGGCGTCTGCGATACTTGAGCTAATGCCGTCGCCGAGTGTAAACACGCACGCGTGGGGAAGGAGAACGCTTAATGGTTCTGTGCAGACTGGCAAAGAGCTGCACGTGGTCGTCCGGCGAGGGTGCCTCTTTTGTGACGCGTCTGCTGCTCCCGCCGTCTGCGCGAGCCGCGAGGGAGAAATCCCGCGAATGAAAAGCCCCCCCCCCCCCCCCGCTGGAAGCCAAATCGTTACGAGCGAGATCCCTTGGCAACAACTTCAGCGGCAGCAATCAGCGAATCGGTTGGCTATTTTCAGGGGCTGTATAATTGCTTTCGATCACGCGTCGTGCTTTCGTGTCCTTTGTCTCAGTTTTTCTTTTACGTCGGTGTGACCGCTGAGTGGAGGCAATTACGAGGGCGCTCCGGCATTTAGGAGCATTTGTTCTCGTGTGGTTGACGGTGGTGATTGTCTGCTGGTGGCAGGCAGGAGACAACATTGCCCCCTTCTAACCATCCATGTCATTTCGGCAGCCTCGCCGATTTCACGATACCCAAGACTCATTGCACTCTCTGTTAAACGCTCGCACACCACAGTGAATGCACTCTGGAGGAATCCGATGAGCTGTAAAGCTCTTTTTCACAAACGTCTAGTCGGGGCGGGATGACAAAGTTACCACACCACCACTTTCCTATTGAAAGGTAAACATCGGAAAGTGGATTGACGTAGGGCTTTAAGTTAATTGTTTGAGTTAAGTACCATCCGTAATGGTTTATTCTCTTAATTATTATTAATGCAAGACATCCGTGCCAGAAAAAAAACACACATTATCGGATTGATTAAGATTCACACGTCTCCTGACTCAATCGATCCTAGAACGCGCATGGAATCAAAGAGCTCCGCATATATATCCTCATTATTGGAACGTGCCGATATTTCACACTGGGGATGCCGTCACGGAAACGCGGGCAATAAAAAAAAAACCGCGTGTCAAAACCAAAAGAAACTCAAATTATTTTGCGTTCAACGATTCCGTCCCAAAGGGGTGTTACGCGGAACCGTCACAAAGCCCGCTTGGAAATAAAATATTTTCTGCACGCCACGGTCAGTGTTAAGTGAAACGGCCCCGTGTTTTTTGTTTGTGGCAAAGCAAGGGGGGTGGGGGGAGAGGGGTAATAAATAAATAAATGCGCTGGGGGTTGGGGGGGGGGTCCTTGCCGTTGTGACGCGTGCCACCTCCTGAGTTAGTTTGGCTTCGCGTCGACGTGGAAGGGAGGCAGAACGCGAAAGCAACGCTGTTGGAATCCTTCAGTTGAACGTCAAACGGCGGTTGGCGTTTTTTGTTGTCGTTCTTGTTGTGTGCGCGGTGGTACAAAAATAATCACGCATTTAAAAACGTCAATTTCGGGCTCTGCAATTGAAAATGAAAATCTTGATTTGAAGCTTCCGTGACTGCAGGAATCCCATACTCTTTGGCTCTTTCGGTAAAGTCACGTAGGTATACCGAAATAACCAAAGAGTATGAAAATGAAAAGTCAACTGTTGTATTTTCCTCTTAACCGATTACCTACTTACTGCGAGTGACCTTTTTTCATTTCCATTCTTTAAAAGCGTAATTCATATTTTAAAATTATTTATCCTTTTTTAAATAATTGATACATCTCATGCGCTGAATTGAATGTCACTTGTACAGTGAATCATTTTGAGACCACAGCGATTTGAGACCACAGCGATTCCTGCTCAAAGGGAAGAGGTACCTTTTCTGTCTGTTACACAGCCTGTTATTGCATTATAATATTCTCGTACGCTGTGTCGCTGGCTAATTGTACCCCCGTGACGTGCAGTGTGTCAATAATTGTCAATGGCTTAAAGATCCTGCCGGTTGATTTACGTGTCCTTTGGTGTCTTCGCAGGAAATGACAGCGTGAATGTTTCAAAGGACACGAAAGGGACCGCGTGTAAGAAGCACCAGAAAAAGGACAGGAGGAGTGAAGTCGCAGTGCAAAGGCAGAGCAAGCAACATCTCATCAAGGAAAGGTCATCAGCTTTAAGGGGACAGGGAGTGGGTGAGGATGACAGAGAACGTGGGAGTGAGCCGGCCACCGATCCCAAGGAGAGCCACGCTCCTGCTGCCGCCTCGGTGCAAAATGGAAACGTGGAAAGCGAAGCCAAAAAGCAATCTGTTTTAGCAGAGACCGGCCTGCCGGCTCGCCGGGGCTGCGTGAGCGATGAGCCTGCGACCGAAATAAGCGAGGAGCCACGCGCTGTTTTACGGCAGGCCTGGCCGCGCGTGGAGAGCGAGGCGGAGTCTGTCCGTAACGAGACCGCTGCACCAGGGGAGCCGGTGTGTCATGGGGAAGAGTTACCGCCCGAGCCTCCGAGGGATGCTGCACTGCCGCCGCCACGCTTTCCTGCCAGTCCTGACGCGCAGGCCAAGGTGGCCGAGAATTGTAAATCCCCCCTGCGCAACGTAGTGGAAGTCAACGCAGATTTATCGCAGGCCGCTCCCCTCGAGGCCTTGTTAACAGCCATGGAGTCTGATCCCAACCAGAGGGACCCTTCCACCGCCACCGCCGCTGCCACCACCACCACCACCGATGCAGCCGCCACCACCGCCGTGCTCTCTGAACTCTCATCAAGAGATCCATCGCAAGGCCAAGAAGCAAGGGACGCCGGTCAGCTCCCAGCAGCTAAGGCTCAGCCCCAAATGGCTTTCCTGCAGCCTGCGTTACCAGGACAAAGTAGCTTTTCGAATGTAGCACACATGCCGACGAGAGAAGCTACGCAGCAGCAGCAACAGCAACAGCCTCAGCAGCAGCACACCGCTTTTCAGCAAACTTCACTCGTCTTGGCTCACCAGCCACAGCCTCAGCTGCAGGTCTTGTCCGAATCTCTGCCGCAGCCCTGCACTTCCTCGCAAGCTCAAGACGTTCCTACCGCAGCCCACATCGTAGTACCTCTTTATGGACAATTTGCCGTGCCGTCACGTGTGATTCAGTCGCCGCCACCCGGGTCTTCAGAGCCAGCACAGCAGCAACAACAGCAGCAGCAACAGCAGCAGCAACAACAACAGCAACAACAACAACAACAGCAGCAACAACAGCAACAGCAGCAGCAGCAACAGCAGCAGCAGCAGAAGGAAAAGAAGCCAAAAAAGCCAGGAAAATACATATGCCCTTTCTGCAGCAGGGCGTGCGCTAAACCGAGTGTGCTGGAAAAGCACATCAGGTCGCACACAGGAGAGCGGCCATACCCCTGCGTCACGTGCGGGTTCTCGTTCAAAACGAAGAGCAACCTCTACAAGCACATGAAGTCGCACACGCACGCGCTGAAGGCTCGCCTGACGAGCAGCGCGGAGCACTCCGGCAGCCTGTCCGAAGCCGGCACCTCCTTCAGCAGATCTGACACCGAGGTGCGGTCCGAGGCCGGCGAGAGCACGGACACGGAGGAGGAGCAGGGGAGAGCCCTGCTCTCCTCTTGCCCCAACCTCTTGCGGTCGATGTCCTCCCAAGGGTCGCTGGATTCCGCCAGGCACGGCGGCAGCTACTCGCTCGAGTCCGCGCCCAGCGTATCTTCCCCACTGCCCACCGTCATCATCGAGCACGCGAAGGCCCCCGAGAGCGTCGTCGAGTTCGCCGAGCCAAGGCAGCAGGAGCCGCCGCCGACATCGTCGTCGTCGTCGTCGTCGCAAAGGTCCGAGGCGCACCAGCTGGTGAAGATGAAGCTCGCCCTGGCGATACGCTCGCCCGACCGCAAGAGGCGGGACATGGAGCTGGCGCTGCAGCAGTGCCACGGCAAGGGCTCCGACCTGCCGAGCTCGCTGAGCAAGGGCAGCACGGACTCGGGGTACTTCTCCCGGTCGGAGAGCGCGGACCAGCAGCCCGGCAGCGCCAACCCCCAGTCGTACAAGGAGATCGTGCTGGGCAAGAACGTGAGCACGAGGTCCAGCCTCCTCGCGCCCAGCCCCCTGATGCCGCCGCAGAAGCACTCGCTGGTCCTCACCGCGTCCTCCAAAGGACCCACGGGTGACAGCCTCGAAGAGCACATCAACAAGCTGATCTCCCGAAACGAGGCCGTCATCGACAACACCGAGTTGGACAGCGTGAAGCCCAGGAGGACTTCGCTGACTCGTAAGGGCAGCATCGATTCGCCGAGGCCGTACACCTTCAAGGACTCGTTCCAGTTCGACCTGCGGCCGCTCGGTGCCGGCGAGCTGAGCGCCGGCTCGGGCCTGGAGTCACAGCGGCAGTCCATGTCCGCGGACGTGTCCAAGTCGACCATATGCCTGCTCAACGTGCCGCAGAGCTACGGCGCGACCGAGGGCCTGTCCGTGACGCGCAGCAACTCCATGCCGGCCGTGGCGGGGTACTCGACGGCGGGGTTCTTCGAGCCCCGGGCGTCGAGCATGACGAGGGAGAGCCACTCGTTCGACGAGCGGATGTCCGCTTCCCAGTACGACGACGTGTTCGTCTCCGATCCCAATCTCTCCGCCATGGCCTCGCACCACCGTCCACTGGTCAGGCAGAAAGCGTTCGAGCTCCCGGCGAGAACCGCCACGCGCGTTAAAAAGACCCTGTCCGCCGAGGAGAGCGTGCAGGAGGGGGGCTCCTGCGGCGCCGGCCAGCTCTCTGCTACCAAGAGCAGGTCGCTGGAGCAAGAGCCGCCGCAGACGCCGGGCACGAGCGAGGCCGCGCGGCGGCTGCAGAGGCTGCCGCGAGGCAAGGGCCTCATGTACGAGTGCGAGACGTGCCGGGCCAGGTACAGGAAGCTGGAGAAATTCGAAGCGCACAAGAAGTACTACTGCTCGGAGCTGCACGCCCCGCGGAGGCGGCCGTCCGTCACCCAGCAGGGCCGCGAGCAGCCGCAGATGATGCACTACAAGGTGTCGTACCCGGGCACGGTGCTCAAGCGCGCGCACCTCATCAGGAAGCGCCGGAAGGAGAAGAGCCTGGGCAGCGAGGAGGACGCCCTGGCGGCGGAAGACACCGGCAAGAACGCGCTCGGCCCCGAGCTCGGCCCCACGACGGGCGAACCCGCGTCGCACTCGGAGGCGCCCGCGCGAGGTGCGCGCCTAGGCCACGCGGCGCGCTGCCCGGCTACGGCCGCCGCCGGCCCGGTGAGGCCCCCTCCCCAGCCTGCGAAGGCGCCGCCGCAAGTCGAGACGCAGATGAGCTTCGAGTCGGCCTCCGAGCCTCGGGGCACCACCGCCGTTGAGGCCGGGGCCCAAGCCCAGCCGCCCGTCACGGAGACGGGCGGGGGCTTCGAGAGAGCGAGCTCCGAAGGGTCGTCTCAGCACGAGGGCAGCGGTGGCGGCGGCGGGCAGATTTCTGTTATTCAGCACACGAAGTCGCTCAGCAGGCCAAGCTCACTTGAAGCCATGGAGTCCACGGAGAGCGAAGCGGCCTCCTCGGCCACCGTGCAGCACAAAGAGGCTCCCCCGCTCGACCCCGGCAGGCCGCTCGTCTACCCGACGTCACCCCAGCACCAACTGCACAAGCTGGTGAGGCAGCCGAACATTCAGGTGCCCGAGATACTTGTCACGGAGGAGAAGGAGCAGGAGGAGGAGGCAAAGCAGCAGGAGAAAGCGCAGGAGGAGTCTTGCTGGCCAATGCGCAGTGAAACTCTGTCTCAACTTCCAGCTGAAAAGCTTCCGCCAAAGAAGAAGAGACTCCGGCTCACAGAGATGGGACTATCATCGCTGGAGTCGAGCACCGATTCCTCAGTCGGCCGGAGCCTAAGCAGAGAGAGTTCTCTGTCGCACTGCTCCGGTTTGTCCACTTCCATAGACCGAGAGGAGGCCATGACGTCGAGCGGGCTGCCTGCAAAGCAAGACTTCACCAGCAAATCCACCCACTATCTCACTGTCCCGACTTGCAGCCACAGGCTCATGGTGCCGAGCGTCCACTCCGAGCTCCGGAGGGCCGTGTCGGAACAGGCCGTGGGTTCTCCTGGCACCTCCCAGTTCACGACGGAGATCCGGAGCAAATCGTTGGACATCGGCGCGATGTCGGCCATGCATCGCCAAGCGGCTGCGTCTCCCGCCGAGGAGGAGCCGAGGAGGAGCCCGCTGACCCGACAGGCTTCGCTCTCGGCATCCACCGAAGCCCAGGAGCATCACCACGCAGGCTTAGCGGAGCGCTCTCAGCCACGACCGCAGCAGCCCGCTACCCAGCCGCCAGCCGAAATGGTTTATCGCTACGGATCGCCGGCACCGAGTCCACTGCCGATGCAAACGGGGTATCCTCAAGTCTGGTCCCAGCGTGGATCCCTTCTCCCAGAAGCCCTGCCCCAAGTGCTGTCCATTCAACAGGTGGCCAGGCCCCTGCATGGGCAGCAGGTGATACAGCTTCCACTGCAAGTGCCGCAGCTCCACCAGGCGGCAGAGCTGCACTTGCAGCAACCGGTGCCGAGGCAGTCTTCCGTCGAACAGCAGCAGCGGCAGCAGCTGGCACAGCAGGGCATGCACCTGCCGTCAACTGCGCTCCGACAGCAATGGCACCAGTGCCCGATGCAGAGGGCCCAGTCGGTGGAGTGGGGGCTACAAGGAGCTCAGATCTCGTCCCCACCTCCGTCCGCCCAGCATGTGATACAAGCGCTGCACCCACAGCCACAGTACGTGCCTGGATACCAGCCGCAGGAGCAGTCGCAGTACGTGCTGTCCCCCAGCAGCCCCGTGGCCTACTCGTTGCAAGCGCAAGAGGCGTCCAGCTCTTTGGGGATCCCTGTGATGGCCTCTCCGGCGTTCCCCCCCGCTCAACAGCTCGACACCTTCGTGCTCTCACACACGCCCGCGTTCCTGCAACCGATGGCTTCCGTCCTCGTGCCAATCAGAGTCCAAACGAGTGGCTCGTCCATGGGCTACGCCATTTACGCCGCCACCCTGCCGCAGATTTTCATGACGTCTACGCTCAACGCGCAGCCGGCGCTGGTCTTCTGCCGGCTGGAGGAAGGCGTCATTCACGGCACGCTGCCGCAAACTCTGCATTTCGACACGACGCCTTCCGCCGGTGGAGCCGCCATGCCCGTTCCGAATCCCCCATGCGCTCCAGCTCCTGTCGCTGCTGCTCCTCCTGCTGCTGGCGATTCCGAAGTCCCAGGACCAAGTTCGTCGACGCAACCCATCTCAATGATCTTCTCGGGCGAGCCTCCGGCGAGGAAGCCGCACGCGCCACCCGCGCCTCCGCCACCACTCGGCGAGGGTGGGCAGCCGCCAGAAGGGGCCAGGCAGCGGGAGCCGCAGCCCGGCGCGGACGTTCGGAGACCCGGCTCGAGTCCCCCAGCGGAGGGGCGGCTGCACCCGTGCTACGCGCTGCCCACGGGCGCGGGAGCCCAGCGCCCCGGCGCCGCCACGCTCTCTCCCGCGCGGCCGGGGACGCCGGCGCACGAGTGCCACGCGGCACCGGCGGAGACGGCGTCGTCGCGGGCCCCGCCGGAGTCCGCGGGAAACGCGGCGTTCGAGCGGGCGCCGGTCACCGCGCCGTGCAGCGTGACCGAGAGGCCGAGGATATTTTTGATGTCTCCCTCTCACGGAAGGCAATCAGCGGGACAGTCGGCGCAGCCGGCGCAAGGGACGGCGTCGTTCACACACCTGTCGCGCGTGGAATATTTGGCCGGAGAGCCGGAGGAGTTCAGAGCCACTCCACAGATTGACCAGATTAAATTCCCCGGGGCTATGGTGCAGGCGGCATTGACGGGCAGCAAGCCCGTGCTGATGAGCCCCCTGCAGAGTTCATTGTCTCCCAACATCGAAATGCCCGTCCGCCCGGCAAGCCCCACCATGTGTCCTCCGCAGCGGCCCACCACCCCTCTGCAGCAGATGAGCCCTCCCCCGCTGGGACCCATCTCCGCCGCGGGAAAGAGGCTGCTGTCACCCGCCAGCAGCCTCGACATCACGGTGGAGAAGCAGCAGCAGAAACGCGTGAGGGAGGAGACGAGTCTGGCCGAGCGGGTGTCGGGAATGCTGCACGTCCACACACAGGAGCACGACTTCGGCAAGGCCTACAAGCCCGTGCTGGTCCGACAGATACCGGTCGAGGTCCCCGGTACTCCCACTGCCGAGCAAGTGGCTGGGACGTCAAGGTGGGTCGAGCAGCCAGCGTCGTGGCAAGAGCGCCTGATGCCAGGTCCGTCACGGGCGTCGGCACAGACCACGAGCGCCACGCACAAGGAAGAGCACGCGAAACGCAGCATCCACGCGGAAGCGGAGCAGCTGAGACAGCACGAGTCCAAGCAAGCGGGCCCCAGCGAACAGATTCAGCCGTCCTGCGAAGGCTTGGGTATTGCCGTCGGCGGCGGCGGCGGCGGCATCATCCCGACTTCGCCGGAGGCACGTCAAGGAGCTGCCGCTCAGGCGCGCGCCAGACTGCCGAGCCAAATGAGCGAAGAGGTCACCGCCGCGTCGCACCCGGAGAGCGCCGCTCCACCCGGAGGCCAGAGCTCCAGGCTGCAGACGGACACCACCGTGTTCTGGTGCTACCTGCACCGTGCGCAGCCCTGCCGAGCGGCGCACACCGGCAGGGGCGCCTCCTCCTACAGCCACTGGGCGCTGGGCGGCTGCGGCGCCAGCACGCTGGGCCTCTCGCTGGTGCGGTGCAGAGCGAGGGGCAACCGGGCGTACACGACGGCGGCGATTTCAGCACCCGGACAGCGGCGGCTGGTCCACTCTGGCGCTTGGAGGTCTCCGTGTGGACAGGTAGGGGGACAGGGGGGCTTTGCCCGCAGCTCGGTCGTTCCACTTGACGTCAAGGGACCGCGACTGTCTAATGAGGGTGGATGGGAGAATGGTAATGAGGGTTGCGTTGGGAGACTGATGCGGTCGGGTGGGCTGAATAAATAATTTTGTTTTTAGTCGGGGAGATGTTGTTCCACTGGAATGGAATCTTCAGCCCTCGTTGTCGAATGCTTGCAAATTACAATCTACATCTTGCCATTCTTTAATCTATGAGTCCCATCGATTGTTTTTAACGCAGTAAAAGACATTGTACAAATATGTGTGCATTAGTAGTTTAAATGGTAAATAAATAACTAAACAAATACATAATCCATTAAACATGCTAATATATTAATACAAGCAGATACATATCCATGCGCAGGAGTGCACAACAAAAACTAATTTAATATTCTGATGGCCAAGCATGGCCAAGGATGTATGTCATAATTGATGGAGAAATATTCAGTTTTGAGATCGGTTGTGCTCTCTCGTTCCTCCGACGTAAGAGTTTGTGGGTCGTACAAAAGTGTTGTTGGTTGGCATGCATTTGCGACGTTTAAGTCCATGCGCCGAGCTGCTTCAGTCTCCCCACGAAGCTTCTCTGCACACGGAGCAGAAACCGTCGACGAGGGCGAGGTGGAACGGCACGAGGCAACACCACCACCACCACCGCCACCACCACCACCGCCACCACCACCACCGCCACCACCGCGTGAAAGCACGGCGGAGATCTAACGCGAATCGTTATAATCTCAAAAGATAATTTCAACAAAGGCGGCGAGGTATGGAGGTAGTCGGCGGCGATGCCTTTTTTTGCAGCCCACGTGGGCCACGCGGCATCCGCTAATTGAGCCGGCAGCGCTGAAGTTCACGGTGGGGAGGGGGGCGGCCTGGCCAGCGAGCCCCCTCCCGGAATTCCCTTTGCGGCTCCAAATTGCTCATCTCCACCCACCCACCCCGCCCCCTCCAAAACGCCTCACGCTGCATTTAAATTACGCTTCGGGATTCGCGGAGTAATCCGGTAATGAGCAAGAGGGGACGAGAACGGTGCTAGCGGTGAGCGGGGGTGTCCTCACTCCCTCGTCCCTCCTGGGCCTGTTGAAGTCAACAGCTGAGAGGGTGTATTTCGTTTTTCTCTTTCTCTTTGGCAACATTAAGTGGAACGAGTTCCCCAAAGGGCCAAGGGGGGGGGGGGGGGGGATCAAGCGCACGTGTGCACGCACTCACGCACGCGTATAGCGGATCAAAGGTTGAGGCCACCCGCGGTCCTCCAGTGACCAGAGAGGAATCTGGCACCTGATGAATTAAAGCGGCCGTGCCAGCGTGTGATTTATTCCGGGAGCCCCGGTTCCCATGTGGTGACATTACTGCGTGTGCGTGTGCGCGTGTGTGCGCGACAAGAAAAATACTTTTTAAACGGGGGTTTTCCCGTCACTCGCCTCGGAAAATAGCGCGGTCGCATTTGCGTATCAATGCGTCCCGTCGTCCTCGGACTGATTGTATCCCCTGGGCAGCGGCAATGGCAGGAGAGCTCTGCCTAACAAAGCCCCCCAGCGAGTCTCCGCGGTGATTGCATCCCCGGTTCGCGACGATGAAGGTTACGTTTCATTCAGCGGGCCACGTATCGTTAAGCGTCGGTGGCTCACGCTGCAATAATGAGGTGGCCGAGACGCATATATATACACAGCTATATACACAGCTATATACACATATATACAAATATATACACATATATACTCCTTGCGATGTAATGACAGTGGCGGGTTTTTATCAACAGCAGATGGATGCAAGATGAAAAAACACATTGTTGTCGCCGGCGTTCACTTCACATTCGCAGGAATTGGCTGGAAACATCCAGTGGCCCAGTCACGCCAATCTCTTCTATGCTCTGTTGGCTGCCGCACACTAACATGAATCAACATTTGCCATTGGGAGCCACCTGTAGGCAGATCTCCCGATTGCATTTCCCTGTCTGCAAAAAAAAAATACAAATATAAAGTACGTTGTTACATTACAAACCTAATATAAGCGTGGTGTGTACGTGCGGGAATAAAACACGCGCCAAATGAATGTGCGTTAAGTGCGGTGTTCGTATACACGTGCAGAGTGGAGGGTCCACGTGCTCATCGTGTGCACGTCAACCGGTTCGCGGGGGTCATGTGACAAATCTTCAGCACGCTGGTCAGTGGTGCGGAGCATAGCACAGTACAATGGACTTTGTTGCACTGCCCTCTGTTGACAACGCAGCCCTGCGGGAACGTACACAACCTGCTGCACGCAAAGTGGGCACCCTTCCAGGCACAATGCAGGCTCAAAAGCCTGCTTAGCTTCTGGGATTTGACGGGTGTCGGAGAGCATTCTGATTGATTTGGTCATAGGTTTATCACAAATACATACAGCATATGCTGTACGTGCATGCTTACTTGCTCTAATTTATTAAACATATCAACCGTACCATTGACGTACTGGAAATAACATTTCCCATGAACAGTAGCTGATGACCTAGTCTCAGCACCTTTTCAGGAGGTTCCTGGGCAACATTGGTATGTTGTTGTCCAAGTGTTTGGCTTCACGTGGGGAGAAACTGGAGGACCCGGAGAAGGTCAACAAGTTGTATACAAGGGGGTAAGAGGGGTAACGCTAATCGCTGGCAGCTCCTGCCCACACCTCGAAACCCCACGCCCATAACACCTGGGAAGTCGTAGCATGTAGTAGTCAACCGCGCTAATCAAAGGTGCGGGGGAAGGAGAACAGACTAAGCACCAAAAAGCAGTTGTAAAGAAATGAGTTATCAATCTAGATTATTTACAAGTGCATAGCTCCAGTGGCGCGCGATGCGGTGACCGTCCTTGTTCGATGGCGAACCAAACGCCGCTTCGAGGAAGACCGGAGCTCGCGTGATGGTTTGTGCTCCTTGAGATCAGCAAGGTACCTCGGTTCATTTTGTGGCAAGCAATTCGCGTGCAATGAGTGCGACCTCATAATGTATTCGTTCGGCCACCGAAATCCAATGCAGCTCGGCGAGCACTGGACGGACACGTTCGGATCTTGCAGTGCCCGTCACGACCCGTCGCAGAGGGTTTGAGACCCAAAACGATATCAGATGCATTTACAAGTGATTTGGTCGTAGGCAATAGAATAGAGAATTTTGGTTCAAACTCTGCTGCCCTGGGGTGTTGTACTGCTGGAACACACGCGCAGATTAAAATGAGACGGAGAAAGAAAAAACGCTGATAATAACATCACGCGAAAATAACTGTATTAAAATGTAAAGCATGACAAAGTTGAAATTAATGGAGTGCTTTCTACAGAAGCCTTTTTCTGTATAAGGCTAAATCGATATTGTATGTCCTTTGGAGAGAAAGATGTCCTTTACACCAGATACCATATTAATTCACAAAAGGGAATGGAATATGTATGTGTAATTGTGATATTAGGCATTTTCAAGTATGGGTGTGAGCAGCATATCAAATACGGGCAAATGAGTACCCAATGCCGTGTGGAATATGATGAGAGATGTAAGTGGTAGGTGAAAAGACATTCTGCCAAATGCAAGCGTGAAGAATTATAGCAAGTTGTCACAGAAATTAATATTTAGAACGGTTTGACGTATTAAGGACACTTGCCTATAAACGTGGTGTGTCACGTTCTTACATCGTTATCTTGAGGAGCAAGGCAAACTAATTAAAATTAATCCTTATTTTATTTTTCAGCCACGCTCAGAGATGAAGGTCAAGATGGGGGACGTGCAGGCTTGCACGGAGTGGGCGCCGGGGTCCGGGGTCGAGGTCACGCTTCCTGGAGAGGCTCCGTCGCGGGATTGCGAGCCCGCTCGGGCCGCGTTCGATGATGGGTTGGTACCGCGATGCGCGCCCGCGCACACGCGTGCGTGCGTGCACATTGAACTTCTTTCGCACCGTACTTAGCCAGCCTTGCCAATCGGACGGTTGTGACGAGCGATTGTCTCCCTGTCCGACGTGTTCTCGGGTTGTGCCAAGGTGTCGCTCGGGTTGATGTCCCAGCGTTTCGCTCCATTTGCCTTGTTGAGCCGAAGCTTATTCAGGGCCCAATGCCAACCATGCTACACCACTGGTGGCACGCATTTACCTCTATAATAGGGCGTTTGCATGTAAAAGTTGTATGTATGGCTGTTTCAACTTCGTTTGCACCATACGCAGCCCACCGTGCTAATCGGAGGTGTGATAGTATTATTGAACAGTGGCACACATCAATCAGAATATTTATTTATAGTGGAGGAATCCGATGAGCTATAAAGCTCTTTTTCACCGATATCCAGCCGATGTTCAATTGGCACCAACATGCTGTCTACAATTCTACAAGTGTGCTGTAGTCTTTTTTTTAATATAGTTTTCATGCTAAACATCGCATGTTAAATATTCCCATTGGCCATTTTATTATTTTCTAAGGTACTTTTATAGCGAGCGGTGCTTGTAATGACCAATGGAAGGTAACACCCAAAGGCCGTAACCCTCCCTTGCTGTGAGATTTAGAAATGCATATTATATTACATAAAAAAATATTCCGAAAAACAGCATAACATCTTTTAAAAGGCCTACGTGTTCTTATAATTGTACACTGAAAATGTAAAAAAAAAACAAGCCCAAATAACAGTGAACCAAGTACAGTGTCTCTCTCCATCTCTCCCTTACCTACACCAAATTCACACACACACACACAATGCTGCCATGGTGCCTGCTCGATCTCCAGGCACGGCCGGTGAAACAATGGTGCTGGGTTGCACGACATTTCCCCACGCCTGTCAAACAAGCCAGCAGCATACACCTGCAGCGGTCGCGCGAGCAAGCACATTCGAGACCGCGTGACGCGCTATCTTATGCGGACACCATTACGTCAAAGCTGTTTGAAGCTGTTGACCACACTCACACTGGAGTGACCTTGGGCCTGCATTGTGATGTTCGGACGCGGGGTTCACGACGGTCGTCCGCTATCGCTGAGGGAGTGCAAATCCAGGAGGATTGGCCGTCCGATCAGCCAATGAGACTCCGACACGGCCATGGTGACCCTCATAGGCTGCACCTTCACCTCCCCAAAGTGTGTGTTTACGTTCATATAAAATGAATTAAATTCTGCCGTGGAAGTTCGTAGGAAATAAAACAAGAATGAACAGGCATGGGTCTATTTCCCCATGTAAGCATGAGGTAACATTTTGGCAATGGACTCATTGGGAGAAAATAAAAATCCAGCGGCAGTTGTTTATGGACCAAACTTTTAAGCAAAACATTTTTTAAAAACACAAATGTTGCTGGAAAACATTGGCCCAATGTTCTGTTTAGCCGAGCGAACGTAATCCTTGTCTATCTTTTTACGTTCCAATTATATTATCCACAATTCGACACAACGTGCATACATTTTGTACAGTGTTGCTCCAACTGTGCTGAATGGTCCCTGCTGTGTTCTTGGAGTCTTAAGCAGCTCGGCGGCATTGGTTGACAAGCCGCACTATGCTGATGAGACTAAGCAAGGTGAAATTGCTACAGAGTTTGTCCACTTAAATGAATAACGCTGGAAACATTTTTTCTATAAATCCCTTTCGTTGTATGTATGTACGTTGAACTTCTTTCGCAATGTACATAGCCAACAATGCTAATCGGAGTGATAGATGCATTCCTTATATATTTTTTATTGAGCAACATATACTTATTTTTCTATTATATTATATTTTCTGTAAAGCCTTGGCTTGAGACAATATGTAGATTGAGCAAACACTGTAGGACAATTTCAAAAAGCATCGGGTATTTGTGTCTCTGTGCATACCATTTAAAGGATAAACATTGTGGCGGTGAAAATACGTAATGCTTGACAACTAAGGTTGGAAGCACTTATGTAAGCGACCATATGGCATCAATACCAGTGTCCAGGTCGTGTGTATATTATATATCTAGAATGGCAATGAAGGAATGCGTTCTAGGTCACGTAAAAAAAATCAATATAAAATTAATACGATCCCAACACTCAACTCTGATGGCCCACATAGCTTCAGCCGAGATGGGGGGGGGGGAAGTCAAACCAGAAGGCAAACTAAACGAAAGCGCAGGGTCACCTTGATGGTAGGCCTCATCTTGCTAATCACCTGTGTCGACGCCGACCACTGCTTTGTGACAAAGAGCAGTCCCGGCATCGGCCAAGTGGTTGATCGACGTCAGGGTCACGCCAATGCCGAGGTCGCGTACGGCGCAGCCGACCTTGTCGAAATCAACCTCGTCCAATGGTGGCCCATCTCTTAGTTTTGTGTTTAAGTTGACGTGGTTCTTCTGCTCCCACGCTGCTGCAGGTTGCCTCCGTCAGAGCAGCGCGGTTTCCCGCGGGACCACGGCTGCGAGAGGCCAGGCGGCGGCGGCGACGACTCCAGCGGGCATTGCCAGGAGCCCGGAGCCCTGCGCGAGCGGTCGGTCTCCCTGCAGTGCCCCCGGTCCCACCACTGCCACGTGTGTGGCGTCTCCTTCAAAGGCAACGGTGAGACGCATCACAGCGGGGATGCTGGGAGAACCGCAACTGGTGCGCCGGGCAGGTCTGGAGTCACCACATCTACCGCCGACTGATCTCTGGATATTCTTGGTTCTTTCGGTAAAGTCACGTTGAAAGGAAGCAATAAAATAATAAAATATATATAATACATGAAAATTCTCACGACGTTTCGACTGTAACACAAACAGTCATCATCAGGTGTGAAAACCAACGGCAAGAACATTTGAAGAAGTGGCGGTTTGTATTTATTTATTTTTAAGCGTTAGCACCACGGATAGCGATCTCTGCATGTCGACGGAAATCGCTGCTGAACTTGAAATGAGCAACAACAACAACAACTACCTTTCACCGCTAAGTGGTGGCGACGTCACCACGGGGCATGTGTCTTACGAGGTGCACTTTGAGGCCAAGTGAAGTGTCGTAAGCCCCACTGGCAGGAGGTCACGGGAGAAGCCCAGGTGCCACGGGTTGACTGACTGAGATGGCTGGCAGATTGCAAAAACTGTGCTCCCCGACCTGCGTTCTGCTTGTTGTTGTGAGCGTTACTCCTCTATGAGCACTCATCAGTTCTCATACACACGATTCTATGCATTTTCGTGAGAGCAGGACAAATGGATACATTGCCACTCCCCAGACTTCCTCTGAAGCCTGATAATCCTGAAAACTTCAGCCTACAGATAATCCTGTCTGAGCCCCAGTTCACTGGTCCAGTCCCCTGTTACCTGGGTCACCCAAGGGGGCATGTCATTGAAGATGGCCAGGTGGTTTGAAGGTCAGAGCATAAATCTGGCACCGCTGAGGTTCTGCGTTCAATTTCAGGCAAGTTCCTTTGGCTCAACCGGATCCTCAAGTTTAATGAGTTGATGGAATCAGCCTGAGCACTTTAGACCATGCCAAAAAGGTTTTACATTTGGTTCCGTACTTATTTGGATAAATTACAGCGTTGAAAATGTTAATATTGGTTTTGCCTGCCATGTGATGAACCTTACTCTCATACACAAAGCGGATGGGAATTGCTGCTCTATACTGCGTGTGGACCAGAGGTCACTTGGAGGGATTTTCCAACATGAAGGGTCACACTGCTCTGAGGAGGGAATACATCTTCATGTGACGTGATGCTGATAGCACAGTGCGGCTTGGAAGCGTATTATTAAATAATACATATTACGATTCCTTATAGGGGAAATACATACTAATTAATGGATTACTAACGTAGCATATAATCACAATAACACATTACAACTAATTACTAATCTACAACTCATTACTAATCATAACCATTGACTGATTACCAATCGATTATATGATTACAATATCCCCCCCTCTACCTCAAATCACTGCACCTGAATGAGTTAAATGATGACGTCACCCTGCTGCTCTATTTAAGACCGGGAGCAAGTGAGGGCTTTACCATTCTGGCGAATTGCCCGATGATGCTGGATGTAATTTCCAGCAAAACGTCGTACCAAAACTGTAAATGTTGTGGATTCACTCTTCAACACACCGGTGGGCTAAAGTAGTGAACTAATTGTCTTTTGTCAACGTGACACTTTTTTTGCTGATTGGCCGTGTCGGGTGGTGGAGGGTTACGACACATTTATAAATAACGCGATCTAACCCAAAAACATTTATTACGAAAAATATTGGTCGCGAAAGCCTACGTGTTAAACTGATAGCACAATTGGGATAAATTTGGGGGGTGGGGGGGGTTGGAAAAATAACAACATTTATTTTTATTTTTAGAAGAGAGAATTTTTACCGCACATTGGCACAATCTGGCCGTACGCGTTGTCCTCGCGGGAACTCACCAGCGACATCCCTGCAAAGGTCAGGTATCCCCGATTGATCAACATTTACGAGGCGCAGCTCGTCGCGCTGCGTGCGTGATGGCACCCGTGATCTGAGGTGGCAGGGACATCGGGCCAGTGGCGTCGCTGTCGAGAGTGTGCAGGCGGTGCAACTGCTCCCAGGCTCGCGGGATGGATGGGCGCAGATGCTGGGCTATGTAGAGGGGAGAGGGGGGGTGGTGGGGAATTTGACAGAGGGCACCGTTTCATTCCTTGTGCCGAGTGCCCGTGCCAACCATGCCAAGCCAATGCATTGGATTGTGCCTCCCTTCACTTTTTTTTTTTACCAGAATGCAGCAGGAAAATGTAGCAAGTGGAATAAATATATGTTTTGGAATGCCTCAAGCAAAAAAAAAACACTGCCAAAATGTGAATATGTGTGGGAGTGCCCGTGTAATGGCATGTGTCAATGGAAGTTGCTGCTGAACTTGAATGGGCACCCTTTGACATTGCATTACAAGGAATATATATTTTTTATAATGCGAATCCATTAAGCAATTGCTTTATTGAGGAATTGTAGAGGGTCCTTATGGGCACTAGACTGTCCACGTCAAATATTTTTGTACAATATTTTTTTCTGATGACAGTGCAAAATAATTATAATTTTCAGCCATTTGTCAGTTCAATACAAGATGAAGACCTCCCCACACCACCTTGATCATGTGAGTTTTTTGGCCATACCTCACCACTCTGTGTTGCTGATCGAGGATTTCAGAACTGGCTCAGATATCATTCGTCACTGACACTAGCCCTGGCAAGGAATTGAATTCAAGTGGCCCGGTTAAAGTGTGCTAACCACTGCGCCACCGCTCCCCACGCTAATATTCACGAGGACAAATATCTGTTGTAAAAAGTAAAATCAAACCACCCACGGACTTTTGATTCACGTGGTAGTGGAGATTGTACACTTATAGGTGTAGCCTTGGGAAGGACACAGGGGGCAGCCGCTATGTGCTTCACTTTTAATAAACAAGAAAATCGATACGAGGTGCTCTCTTGTTCCACTAACCCAAAAATGATTGAAATTCTGTGGTTTGACCTTGGCTTGTCCGAATATGGTTCAGTGTGAATAGGTCAGGGCCGTACAGCATCGTCACGCATTTGCCGCAATGTTCGCAGTAAGAAAAACGATTTGGGCCTATGGTGAGCAAATTAAAATACTCAGCCGGTCGACGGGGGAATGTACATTTTTCCTTGGAAATTGAGGATATATAAATCACATGAATAAATAAAAACCCCTCAAAATATGAAAGCCAGTTAAATGCTCTATTCGTAATTCGGGGCGTTGATAGAGGGCCTCTTCATAAAAATGTGACGGCAGATTAAATTAGTTTGTTGCCCTTACTACTCGCTCTGCTCACCCACTTTGAGGCCCTAAAAATGCCGATTAGGGCAATTAAGTATTCATTTTGCATCGGGCTTCTTGCAAATATTCTGAATCAATGCTTTCACAGCAGAGTTGCTGAATGCATCGCGTGGCTTTGCCTGTTTGAATTGCATCATGCCGGCTGTACCTAAAGTGGCTCAACGACACTTGACAGCATTTAAAGTTGCTCGATTCACTGTTTCTCTTTCATGTTCAGTGAAAAAAAAACACCTGTGGATCTATTCGTTTGTAATGAATGGCTTCTAAGAGAGAGATCTTTTTTTAAATCAGAAATTGGGAGTGGCATGGGTGGCCCCGCGCTCCCATCACATGGAGGGGATGCCTATATGAGTGTTGAAAGTTAAAGTTAACTACATTTAATGAGCATAGTTAGTTCTGTGTTCTGTGCTGTCGCAGTGGAATGGGTTCACTAAGTATTGATTCGGAGCCGGGATGATATTTCTTGGTAAAACCAGGATTAAGGTAAGACAATACTGAAATCCTAGTTGAAAACCTACCATTCCGGTTTATAATGGCCATGTCTGAGCAACGAGTCAGTAACTTTAAGGGCTTGGTAAATTATTGCTGTCATTCACACAAGTTTACACCAAGTTATCCATGGGGGTAAGTCATATATATTAGCTGAGCCAACAGTGGCTTTATAAAACATCATATGAAATCAGTTCTCACCGAATGCAGCCTAATCCAACTCTGAGGATATATATGATTAGACATATCACGTACATTTTTTTAATCAGATGGTTCTGAAAGCACAACTTAGGTTGTAATAGATAAAAAAGATGTTTTTTTTAATACACTTGGGGTTAAGGGACCAGAAAGCTGAGTTGGCATCACTGGGGTGTGGAGTTCAACTCCAGATGTTAGCCGCCCATAGTTTGAAAGGGCACCCGTTCACCAAAAACAACTGCACAAAACCCCTATCACGTCATCATTGGTTTGGCACATAATTCGGCTGAATTCAGCATTGAATGTTGAATATATTGGGTTGACTTGCAATGTGATGAACATTGTTTCCCCTGCAGCGGAGTGGCAGACTGTATGGGAAAGTAGGAACCTGAACTATCTTTAAAGGATAAAACGGCCAACTTGAATGATTTTTTAGAAATCAGGTGGAAAACGTATCCCGCAGTTATTCTCCGGCACATGAGTTGTCCCGTTTACAAATGGATGATTCATCTTATGACAAGATGGTGATAGCACAATTCAATTAAATTGGGAACAAAGACCAATTATTATTTTTCGTTATCGTGAAAAAATACATGGCCGAACATTACACTGTGTAACAAAAATAGTTTTTTTGTTCCTGGGTCGTAAGTGTTAGTTCCTAATTGCTTATGCCTCAAAGTACAGAAAATGGCTATTATTCTCCACAAACTTTGCTTTTGTGACCAGGACAGTGATATTTTGAAATTTACCTATTTTCAATGAGAAGACGTGGTGTGCATTTGTGTCATTCCTTCACGTAAAGTCCTGGTCACAAAAGCAAAGTTTGTGGGGAATAATAATAGCCATTTTCTATACATTTGAGGCATCAACAATTAGAAAATATCACTTAGTACTCAGGAACAAAAATCGTGTTACAGTGTTATCAATCCCTCTGCATGACGATGTGGACGTCCATAGATCAGAGGCTCACAAGATAAGTATTTATCTGATTTAAAGCTTTCGTGACTGCAGGGATTAATATTCTTGGATCTTTCGGTTAAGTCACGTAGAAGGGAAACAATAAAATAATAAAAAAATATAAAACAGCATTATTGCTCAAGTCGGTCCAGATTTAACTCACCCCCTGGCATTGCTGGAGAAAATCATTAAAACCTATTGTGGATGAGGTTGGTGTATTATAGAGTACAACACACAACTCGGGTAGTGCGAGCAACAGCAACTAACCCTGTCCATAGGACTGCTAGACATTAATTCAGCTATCAGTCAACTAATAAATTACTTAAATCACGTTAGTTGCATCGAATCGTGCCGTGCGCACGATGGTCAATTACTCTTAGAGTTGCTCGCTTGCTAACGCCAGTGTGAACAGAAGGGCCTGCGCTAGAGGGAGCTCTACAGAGCCCTCTAAAGGGAGTATTTGGCCTATTCTTCCACGCTGACCAGACATCTTGTAATAGGTGAGAGTACTCACACTTTGCCCCATCACACACGACCAGAGCCGATCCACTGTGGTATACCCATTGTACTGCTGAGTGGTGAGAGGCGGCGGGGGGGGGGGGGGGTAAAATGCCATTGTTTAAACTTCCAAGCAAGTGGGTCGAACCGGCGATGTCTGAATTGCAAGCGCAGCGTACTAACCGTGACAGCACGGCAGCATCAATTAACTGCATTCGTGACTTCTGCAAATAGCATGAAAATTAAACGATGTTCCAAAGGAGTAAAAATAAACCTACACAAGATTGACGTAAATAATGATAGTACAAATGAGATGTTAAACACAGGACAAAAAAAATGTAGGTATTATTGTATTTTGAGCAGAAGAATCGTGACTATAAATAGTGACGATTCGTTGAGTTGCCGGTCGGGTGGATCGTTCCGTGCAGCGACGAAAACCGGACCAAATTACGAGCCGCACAGCAACGTTAGAGCAAACATTTTGACGTTTTCCTCTTTCGACCCTGGACGCTCGCGCGCGTACCGCCGTTGCATCACTCCGCAGTGTAGAAAAAATAATAATTCTGCAATCTGTGAGCGTGGAAAGCCCTGGGTGGATTTGCAGGCACGAGGAGCTGGGTGAAGCATTGGCAATTAGCGAGCGCTGTGGCACGCGAGCGGATGAACGGGAGGCCACACAGGCGGAGCAATGCGTAGCACGCCGTGTGTTGTGGCCCAGTGACCGCCGGCTGAATGATGCACAATAAGGGAGCAACGCTTTTGAAGAGCTTGGTCGCGATAGGGCTAGGACGAGCAACGTCGGCTGCGTTGAGTGCACGAGCCGTGTTTACAACACTTCTTTACACTTGTTCTCTATTAAGATGCAAATGCACGGCGTGTAAAATAAATTGGACATTATGTAAAGAATGAGTCAGAGCTCCCATCGCGAGTATTTCAGATTCGCAGTAGATAACTGCAGGTCGCCGTGACGCAGTTTGCGAATATGTACGGTATGCAGTGAACACAATTCTATGAAATGGTTATTTAAAGAAAAGAAAGTAGAATACGGCCACTTCCACTGATCTAGAGGAGCACAAGTCAATGTTTCAACTAACAGGCCTTTATCGAGATCCGAGAGCCGTTTTCACTGACTGGTGTATATATTGTTCAGGACGTAAAACGCAATGGACGTTTCCACACGTGCTGCCGAGCGAATGATGCGAGGCAGGGCGTGTGAAATTGAGGACGAAGCATTGCGAGCTTCAGAGGCGCGCGGCGTGGTCTCGCGAGGCGGCGCTGAGAGTGGCGAGCGCGAGGCTCGGCCACGCGCGCAGCACGCACGCGCCGTCTCGGCGCGGAGTCGACTCTGCATGGAAGATTCACTCCACCTGGAAAGGCAGGGGGAACACATGAGGAGCGGGGGAGCGGACACCAAAACCCTGTGACGATTATCTGAACCGGTCCTGGAACTCCCCTAGGTCGACACGGCCTCAAATGAGTACCGGATGCGGTGGAGTGTAAACAAAAACAAAAATCGCCACTGGGGAGACAAAAGGCGATCGGGCGTGGTGCTGGCCACCCCAGCGCCTCGTGTTCCCTGCCGCCCTTCATAGGTGCTGCTCGCTAAACAGCACTTGCCCCATCAGCCTGTTAAGGCTATGCGGGAGATGTTTGTCTTCGTCTTTACCCACGTGGTGCAAACGGCGCGCCGCGGGCCTTCGTTGAGCCATAACTCTCTCCAAGGCACTCCAATCTTTATTAGCCGTGCTCACCGACAAGAGGAGGACAAAGAAATAAATCATCTCGCAATGATTCCCGTGGTCTTGTCAACCGGGAGCGGGCGCTGCTATGTCGGTCGAACTCCCACGGGTGCACGATGTTTGCCCAAATCGTTCGCTAATAATCCCACACTTTGGGAGACACGAGCAGAGATAAGAAAGACATCGAAATTCTCGGCTTTGTTTTCGGGAACCGCGATTGCGGGGTTAGTACACTGGGGGAAGAGGGTATGACCCGGGGGACATTGTTCAGAGCGTGGCTCTCGAGAAAAAAAGTGCTCTTGAAGAAGCTCTACCAGGTGAGAGGGCGTGTGGCATGCTGTGGCCACGGGTGAGATTCATGAATTCGAGGCTGGTCATTGTTGTTTCTGCTCCGTTCTGCTCGTAGGACCTGAATTCGATGAGAGGGCTCGTGGCCGAGTGGGCCGTGGCTGTGTGAAAATGGCCACAGTAGGGGCAACAGGTGGTGCATTTGCCAGTCATCACCGTCAGTCAACCCGTGGCACCCGGGTCTGTCCCGTGACCTCCTGCAAGCGGGCGTTTGACACTTCACGTGGCCTTAAAGTGCACATAGCCTGGTACAAGCGCCGTGGCGACGTCACCGCCGCTTAGTGGTGAATGCTGGATTTTTTTGTCGTGGCTGACATAAGTGTTTCAGCGGCAGTTGTTTTTTCTTCTTTTTTGTTAAATTAGTGAATCGAGAAGGACCCTGTAAACACAGCTTGGAAACGATGTTCGTGCATTCATCAGCAAAATTGCCTGCGAACGCCATGAATTTGCTCCCAATAAAACAATCGGTGAGGGCGCTTTATGGGCAGAGTAAAATAGGTCTATTCCCATTTCGGGTGGCAGTTGGTTAACACCAACAACGATGGGAATGAGGGCCTGTGTGTTTAGAGAAACAGGTTCCAAATTGTAGTCCTAATTTAGCTGATTGTCATAGAAATTATCACGGTAGGATTTATGTTGCTGGGTTTTTAATAATAAGTTTGAAATTCAAATAATATCAACAAATATGTTGAATACTTTACTGTTTTACAGTAGAGCTTTTTTGTTTACTTGTAAGCATTGTTTTACTGGTTATCAGTGATTATAAATGTAATTGGGTAGACTTCATCACACGCCGCTTATAATTAAAACATATTCACTGCATTCAATTGCATTTATTCGAAGATGTGTAGAAAATACAAATGAATGATACTTAGATATATACATAGTGAATTAGGAACCTGGTAAACTTATTGTATTTACATTTTTGTCCTCTTGTTTTATGTTTCCCAATGGAAACCTAGTGAAACATATCAAATCAAAGCTGCATGGCGAGCAGTGTTTGGAGCTGGGTCTCACCCCCAAGGAGCAGGGAGTCACAGTCGAAGGTGAACATTGCTCTCATCCAATACGTTCTCAAACACGCGCCGGCCTTGGTACCTTTACCCTAAGCAGGTGTGTAATGGTCATCGTTTCGGTTAGTTAAATGTATGTCGACTTGAAGAAATACTTTAAGGATACCACATTTGGTGTCCTTCCTCCGCGCCTTCGGTTAGCGCGGTTGGCTACGTACGGTGTGAAAGAAGTTCAACATGCATACATTTCTGGGAGACTCAATCAGAACATATGGTGAACTGGCAGCCTCTCTGTCAGCCACAAAGACAAAGATCCCCCATATAGCCTTAACAGACTGTAGGGGCAAGTGCTGTTAGCGAGCACCTATAAAGGCCGGCGCTGTACACGAGGGGGTGGGTGGCCAACACCACGCCCGGCCACCTTTGTCTCCCTAGTGGCTCATCGCACCAGGTATTCATTTGAGGCTGAGTCGACCTAGAGGAGGCCCAGGACCGGTTCAGATCATCGTCAGTTGTGTTGGCCGTGAGCGGGAATCGAACCCGGGTCACCAGGTTCATAGCGCAGCGCGCTAACCGCTACACTACCGCTCCCCACTGTCAGCCACGCCCACTTTTACACAGCCACGGCCACTAGCCCATGCGCACACAGCGAGTGACCTCTTGATTTCTCACGTTGGTGCATCCTACTGCCAACAAGCCCAAGCTACTCCTCCTCCAGCCAACCCCTCAACGGCACTCACTGCTCAGATAGCCCAGGCCTTTTCCTATATCACGAGGTGAGCATGAAGCCAGACAATCGTAGACTGTGACAAAATGCAGACTTTCACACGAGCTTCAGGACACAGGGACACCCTCTCTGAAACCGGCAATGCCCAAGACGATTGGTTACCCCACGATACACGCGTAAAATTGTGAATGGGGGGGAATACATTTTTTGTGATCCATAAAAGAGTTTTTTTGGTTTAGGTCACGTAAATATAAATGTGTCGTTAAACCCGCCACCACCCGACACAGCCAATTACCGTATTTTCCCGCATATAACCCGCGGGGTATACCACTTTTTACAAACAAAACAAGACCCTGCGGGGTATATGGAGGTGCGGGCTATCTGAAATTAGTTTTACACAAAACGCTATTTTTGCGGGGTATATGCGTCTGCGGGTTATATGCGTTTGCGGGCTATATGCGGGAAAATACGGTAGTAAGGTTAGTCACGTAAACAGAACATGCCAATTTGTTACTAGTACTGCACACCGGTGTGATGGAGAGCAAATCCACAACATTGAAAATATGATTACGACGTTTAGTCCGTAATTACAACTAGCTTCATCAGGCGACAGCCAGATTTGTGTAGAAATCTTCCTGTTTCATCCCTTAAATAGAGGGATAGATGTGATGACATCACTTGCGAGCCCTTCACGTGCGAAGGGGGGAAGGGGGTAAATGCATGCATATAAATTACAATGGGTATCCATTGCCGGTTGTGTTATGCATATGGTAATAAATGTACATTATGGTGCACACTGTTCTTGTACCTCCTGTAGTTTGCGTACAATAAAATAGCAGTACCTGTTATTATCTGCATACAGGTAATCCCCATTGATGTATGGTGACCTGTATAGGTATGCATTTTACACAATGTATCATTTGATGATTCGCTTCCAAGCAGCGCTAAGCCTGTAGCCACCCAAACGGTTAAAATGATTTTTTATATTCTCTAAATTTCGATAGATTCTCAAATTAGTCGTGGCCAGTAGTAGCTAGTTTTGCACGTAACTTCAACATCATCAAAATCAATTCAGTGCCCTTGTTGGCACGCGTGTTCTGCCACTGCCGACAGTTGTATTTGGGAGTATTTAATACTCCTTTGGTGTTCTTTTAGTCTCGTCCTGACCATTCGTCCTGTCAATTCCTCAGTTGTATTTAAAGGACTAACGAGACCTCGCCAACCACTGCATGTGCTACATTCGGCACAATGTAGAGACACCACATTATCGAATTGAATCGTGACTCCCAAATCATGACCATTCATTGAATTGCAAGCGGCCCAAATCTTTGCAGTCCGAGTCTAAGGACCCTGTCACACAATGACCAGTGGAAGCCCAAAAGTAATGAGTGCACGGTTTTCAGGTTTGTTACCACAGGGGAAGTGGGCCCTTAGAATGCTGAGGAGAGGGCGCCACGGTGGTGAGATGTTAACTACCTCGCCTGGTATGCAGGAGGTTGTGGTTTTTGCCCCGACGCTGATGCCTGTATATTTGGCGTTTGCGTGTTCTCACTGTGGTGGCGTGGATTTTTCTCCGGGTCCTACGGGTTTTCCCTCTACATTTAGGTTCATGCGTTTAGAGTATTTGGCTGCTATAAGTTTCCACACGATAAGCCACTTCACTGAGCTATCATTTGTGGTCAGGTCGCTTTTAACAAAAGAGCTGTATAGATCAGTGGGCCTTACCTGGTAAAATAAAAAAGAGTTTATTTTTTTGTTTAGTTTATATTAGTCATGAGGGTCGCACAAAAAATGTGGGCATTGAACGTGTTAACAACATGACCAGTTGACCTTTGACGTCATATTATTTATTATCGCAGTGTTTTGCTAGCAAAGTGCATGCAGTGTGGACCGTCTGACATTCCTGTTCTCTTTATAATACTGACCTTTACTGTGACTACTTTGCCAATTTGCTGACCTTATTATTCGTGTTATTCTTTGCGTGCTGAAGAGTTCATAATTAAAAGACACGTTTTATTTGGTTTCCCACTAAAGTTATAATGGGGTGTGTACAGCCTGGAGTGACTTTGATCATCACCAGAGTGACCCTGGTCATTGCCGGAATGACTATGACCATCGCCGTAGTGACTTTGATCATCACCAGAGTGACTTTGATCATCACCAGAGTGACTCTGATCATCAGCAGAGTGACCCTGGTCATTGCCGGAGTGACTTTGATCATCGCCAAAGTGACTCTGATCATCGCCTATTGATAATCAACAAAATAAATAAGCAGACGACACGTTCCCTTCACATATTCGTCGCTCAACGTAAAAAAAGAAAACCACAAAGCATTTCTTACACAACCCATCAGTATTGTTTCAAGACGGCTTTGACATACGGTGTCTCATCAGCAGAGTCAGCCTTGCTTGAATCAATGCCGGTGAACTGCTTGTCGTAAATCCCCTCACCTAACAATCTGGGGTCCCGGTGTGACCGCTGCCCCCTCACCTGATGATGCAACCCAAAGGGCAGTTATTATTATTATAATTGATTAGCCGCTGAGCAGTTATTCTCAGGCTGAGTTGGCATCTAGTAAATGAGAGAGCGATGAGCTGGCACTGCTGAGGTCCTGGGTTCAATTGCAGGCATGCTGCTTTGAACTCAACTTTAACACAGCTATTTCAATGCTAAATTCTCCTGTTTGATGTGTAAACTCCTTTGTCAAGGCGCTTTACTTCTCTCACCTAGCTTAAAAGACGCTGCGAATCTTAGCAGCGTTCATTGAAGCGCTGTCGTCCCGACAGTTCTGTTCCTTCACCTGAAGTAGGCTACTTGTGTTGTGGCCGAAACGTCGAGAGAATTTTATTTTATTATGTTTTATTTGTATTATTTTATTTCCATTCTACGTGACTTTACCGAGAGAACCAGGAAGATCAACCGGATCCTCAAGTGTCGCGATTTGATGGCTTCAGCCTGTTCACCATTGACTATTATTATTTCGATTCTTTTGCTGCTGTAAATGTCCGCATAAGCCACTTTGTTGAGCTAATCATTTGTGTCAAGGTCGCTTCTGAAATATGGGTTAATACCTCAGTGCACTTTGCCTGGTAGGATGGCGATGGTTTAGTTTTATACGTTTGGGCGATTTGTTTACCTTTCCTGAACTTTGTACAACTGTCATGGTTTTTGTATTGTTTGTTGTTGTGACGTTTTTACCCACCCCTACTGTACACCTGTGAAAAAGATCTTAATATTCCTCAAGTATATATCAATGTTCAGATTCTGACGATCCAAACAACTTAATCACATTCAATTTGGTTCTGCACTTCCAACTGGCTCAATTCCACGTATGAGAATTAAAATATCGGCTTGATTATAATTATCAGTTGGACGGACGTTACTCTCATACGCAGAGTGGGTTCCAAAGTGTCGCCCTCCAGCGTTTGGACCAGCGGTTGCTTGAAAGGATATCAGAGTTGCAGCTCTGTGATATCCACTTCCTCGTGTTCCATTCGCTGGCACGAAGGGGTTTCTGCAGTTCTCTGCGAGAGGTCTGAGCGGATTCCTCATCTCTTGACGCGACGCCGATAGCACAATTGGGATGGATTTTGCGGCGGAGAGAGAGAAAAAAGTGTGACAATAAATAAATAATGAATGTGGCGGACCTCCCGCAGGTCGAACTCTTCTGAGTGATGGGGTGAGGTATGAGCTGGCGGGGGGCGGGGCAGTGAGTGCAAGCAATTTGAACACAACAGAGAGTGCTTAACCCGAAGCACGTTGTGGGCCCATATCTGCGTGTGGACCAAAGCCATTTTTCTAAGGACACGTGGAATTACATAAACACAACAACAGCGATGCTTGCCTTGGCTATCACAAATGTGGCTGGTGTGTGTTTTCTTTTTCGTTGTACAGTGAGGGAAAAAAGTATTTGATCCCCTGCTGATTTTGTACGTTTACCCACTGACAAATAAATGATCAGTCTATAATTTTAATGGTAGGTTTATTTGAATAGTGAGAGACAGAATAACAACAAAAAAATCCAGAAAAACGCATGTCAAAAATGTTATCAATTGATTTGCATTTTAATGAGGGAAATAAGTATTTGACCTCTCTGCAAAACATGACTTAGTACTTGGTGGCAAAACCCTTGTTGGCAATCACAGAGGTCAGACGTTCCTTGTAGTTGGCCACCAGGTTTGCACACATCTCAGGAGGGATTGTGTCCCACTCCTCTTTGCAGATCTTCTCCAAGTCATTAAGGTTTCCAGGCTGACGTTTGGCAACTCGAACCTTCAGCTCCCTCCACAGATGTTCTGTGGACTTTAAGGTCTGGAGACTGGCTAGGCTACTCCAGGACCTTGATGTGCTTCTTCCTGAGCCACTCCTTTGTTGCCTTGGCCGTGTGTTTTGGGTCATTGTCATGCTGGAATACCCATCCACGACCCATTTTCAATGCCCTGGCTGAGGGAAGGAGGTTCTCACCCAAGATTTGACGGTACATGGCCCCGTCCATCGTCCCTTTGATGCGGTGAAGTTCTCCTGTCCCCTTAGCAGAAAAACACCCCCAAAGCATAATGTTTCCACCTCCATGTTTAACGGTGGGGATGGTGTTCTTGGGGTCATAGGCAGCATTCCTCCTCCTCCAAACACGGCGAGTTGAGTTGATGCCAAAGAGCTCCATTTTGGTCTCATCTGACCACAACACTTTCACCCAGTTGTCCTCTGAATCATTCAGATGTTCATTGGCAAACTTCAGACGGGCATGTATATGTGCTTTCTTGAGCAGGGGGACCTTGCGGGCGCTGCAGGATTTCAGTCTTTCACGGCGTAGTGTGTTACCAATTGTTTTCTTGGTGACTATGATCCCAGCTGCCTTGAGATCATTGACAAGATCCTCCCGTGTAGTTCTGGGATGATTCCTCACCGTTCTCATGATCATTGCAACTCCACGAGGTGAGATCTTGCATGGAGCCCCAGGCCGAGGGAGATTGCCAGTTCTTGTGTTTCTTCCATTTGCGAATAATCGCACCAACTGTTGTCACCTTCTCACCAAGCTGCTTGGCAATGGTCTTGTAGCCCATTCCAGCCTTGTGTAGGTCTACAATCTTGTCCCTGACATCCTTGGAGAGCTCTTTGGTCTTGGCCATGGTGGAGAGTTTGTAATCTGATTGATTGCTTCTGTGGACAGGTGTCTTTTATACAGGTAACAAGCTGAGATTAGGAGCACTCCCTTTAAGAGTGTGCTCCTAATCTCAGCTCGTTACCTGTATAAAAGACACCTGGGAGCCAGACATCTTTCTGATTGAGAGGGGGTCAAATACTTACTTCCCTCATTAAAATACAAATCAATTTATAACATTTTTGACATGCGTTTTTCTGGATTTGTGTTGTTGTAATTTATATCTCACTGTTCAAATAAACCTACCATTAAAATGATAGCCTGATAATTTCTTTGTCAGTGGGCAAACGTACAAAATCAGCAGGGGATCAAATACTTTTTTCCCTCACTGTATCATGGTCGCTGATCACATGGTTCAGAGACCCAGGTGCTCAGTGGTCAGCAACAAACAGCACTACTGAAGGTGTCATGGATACGTTAATACCAGTGGTTACCCACGAATCTCTAAAGACGACTGCCACGCATGGAAGAGTAGGCCAACATTTCCCTTTAGAGGGGCTCTCTACACGAGGGGCCCTATAGAGCTTCGTCTACTCGCGGCCTTCTGCCAGCAGTGATGCGTGCAAGACATTGCAGGGCTGAATCTCTATCTTCTCTTGTTTTTAATTTATTAACTATAACCTAGAGATATCTAAATTCTGATTTAAAGCTTTCGTGACTGCAGTAATTCATATTCTTAGCTCTTTCGGTAAAGTCACGTTGAAGGGAAACAATAAAATAATAAAAAATATATTAATATATCTAAATTCGTTGGCAGATTCAGGCTAAAGGGGTGCTACTGTCTCCTTGGGTAGGGAACTGGTTCATGGCCGTGGGTTTTGCAAAATGACCTCATCTACCCTGTTGTAGAGAGCTGCCATTTTCTGGGTCCACCATCCGTGCCGGGGAATTTTAAATGATTGAAAAGCGACTAAGGATATATATATATGCAAGCCCAGTTTGTTGACTGTTGCTGCTGCACGCATGCTGATAAACCATACCAATTTCCAAGGGAACGTTATGCCCGTGCGCTCATCTTGTTGAAATACTGCACTCGTCAGCGTCTGAATGGGAATGGGCTGATGCACTGAAATTATTTAACTTGCACGGGCAACCATAACAAGTATTGGGGTTTTAAAATTCTGCGTGGTAATGTGTGTAATATTACAAAGGTAAAGATGCAGCCCTGAAACTCCTTGCTCATGCCACTGCTGGTGAAAGGGCCTCCGCTATAAGTATTTCTAGAGCCGATCTCGAGGGTACTTTGGGCTACTCTTCCACATTGGCCAGGCATCTTGTGAGAGGTACCCACACTTTAATCCATCATACGCTGCTGGTGTCACAGGTGTGTGGATTTTTTTAAAGAAACGTGCACCATTGTTTCAACTGCCGTGACGAGAGATAAGATAGGGGACATGTGGATTGCACATCCGAAAAATATATATGTATGTTGAACTTCTTTCGCACCGTATGTAGCCCATGGTGCTCATTGGAGGTGCGGGGAAGGACAACCTGTATAAATACAGGGCGATGCACTCCATCCTCTGGAGTTTCAAGTTTAAATGTAAAGTTTAAATGTCATCGTCTCTTGATATGATGCCCGCAGGGCAATTGGAATTAAATTACAACTAAAATATACGAACGGAAGCGAACGCATTTAAACTCTTTTTCTAACATCGACTCATTACTGTGCCGTTGTTTATTTTGTCTCCGGGGCTAGGAGAGGGCAGCGGCGAGAGAAACCGAGGGAGCGAGCACGCAGCCGAGGAGCCGGAGGAGCCGCAGGAGGAGGACAGCGGCAGCGAGAGCCGTCGCCACTCAGTCCAGTTCACTCTGCCCGTCGAGCAACCCGAGCCTCAGGCAGGCCCTTCTGGTGTTCGCACTTCCAGGACAGTGGCGGCGGCAACAGCGGCCGCAGCAGGGGCTTCTGAGTCTCCAACCCGAGCGGCACAGGAGCCACGGCCGGTGAAGCCGATCACCGCCACCGCATTTTCGTCCCAAGCGTTCGCAGGCATCGGCGAGTCTCCTGCCGGGCACCCCCCCGCCGGTTCAGGTGCGCGCGATCTCCCCTTGGACGCTGGCGAAGCAACCGGTTCCACTTACCAAGGTCGGTCCGGAGGACCCAAGGCCCCAGCCAACGCGTCGGTCACGCCCGCGACGGAGACCCTGACCCAGGCGGGAAGCGTTTCCGGGACTCGGCCGGGCGGAACGACCGACGCGGCCACCGCCGCTTCCTTCCCTGCGGGAGGATCGGCATCGCCGCTCGAAACTTCGTCCCTGAGCGGTCGGGCCACGCCATTCCCGAGGGAAGCCTTGCCCGAGTGCTGCCGCCGGTTCCCGCGCTACGCTCGGCCGGCGGCCGCCCGCGAAATGTCGCCGCCGCCGCCGTCCTCGACGTCCGTGTCTATGTTCGCGAGCTCGCCCCCGTCGCCTGTCCAACTGCCAGACACACTCCTGCCCGTGCTTCGCCCGTCGTCCGCCACCGCCGCCACCTTCTTCTTCCCGGACGCGGGCGACGTTCCGAGCAGGCCCGGCCAGTGCCTCCCGCCCGGCCACGGGGCGCCTCCCTCCCGGGAAGCCGCGCTGGCCGCCCTGTACGCACGCTGCCCCGGGCCGGAGCGCTCCTTCCCCTACTCGGTGCCGCCGCCGCCTTCGCCCGTCCCGTGCCGCTCGCCCGGCGGCGGTGGGGGCGGCCTGGCGGGCGCGGAGGCCGCGGCGCACGGCTCGCCCGTGGAGATGTCTCCCAGGACGCCGCCGTGCGAGGTGGTGAGGATGCTGTCGCTGGACGGACCGCCCTCCCCCCTGGAGACGGACGAGGGCAACCTCACGCCGGGCGCCGCTTTCCCGGCAACTGGGGCGCCGTGCCTGGCTGCTCGGTATTCGGACGACGTCAGGGTAAGATGGAAATCAGAATCATCAGAATGTTTATTTATACTGGAGGAATCCGATGAGCTGCAAAGCTCTTTTTCACAGATGTCCGGTAGGGGTGGGTGAGAACGTTACAACTTCAAACAGTACGAAAACACGATAGTCGTGCAAAGTATAGGAAAGGTAAACAAATCACTTTTAAAAAAACAGATGAGACTAATTCATTTTTATCTTAGCAGGTAAAGCACACTGAGCTATTGCCTTATTTTTCAAAAGCGACCTGGCCACAAATGATAGCTCAACAAAGTGGCGCATCATGTGGAAATGATAGCAGCAAATTAATCTAAATAGTCTCCCAGTCAGTGCGGTCCTCCTGCAGGGACAGTGACAGCTGATTGAGTCTCTGGAGGGAGCTCAACAGAGCCCCCCGTAGTCAAACATGATGCTTATTCACAGCTCTTTGTTAATTGACTGCGAGCAAAATATCTCCTTCTCACCTTGTCAGCCATGGAGATTTTTTTTTTACCATACTTCACCGCGCAAGTCAGTGTGGGTTGGTGAGGGTTATTTGGCCTTTTCTGCCATACTTAGAAAGGGGTGGGACTACCCACACTTTGCCGCATCACATGCGACCGGGCGATCGACAAACCGTAGCATTTTCTATTTTTCCCAAATGTAATTTACGTGGCATTCATTTCTCGCACTGGCTGACGGCCGTAAGCGTGAGATGCGAGGGCTTACCCCATGCTCAATCGAGGGTGAAAAACCGCTTTAAACTTTTGACCTCGACGGTACAACTCGCGACACTTGTTCAGTCGCAGACAAATTAACGTCTCGTCAATCGCGCCCCCCCGCCCCCCCTTGTCCTCTGCGCGTGCGTCGGCTCAGACTCAGCCGGGCTACACCCTGGTGGCCGACGTCATCCCGCTGCTGCTGCCCACGAGAGCGGAATCGCGAGCCATCGCCGGGCTCGGTTCGGCGAAGCAGGACCCTGTGTTCAGCCACCTGCCACTGCACTCCCGCCAGCCCAGCCGCTCCCTGCTTCCCGTCGCTCCCCTCGGCGCCGTCGTGCCGCCACCTGCCGCCGAAAAACCGCGGCTCGCCGAAGCGACGACGGCCGCGCCGCCCGGCGGCTCGGCTAGCCGGACCCCCGAGCCGACGGCCGACGGTCACGCGGGCGCCGGGCCCGTCGCCGACGCGGCCCCCCGGCTGGACCGCGCCCGGTCCCCCACGGGGCTGCAGCCGGGACCCGGCGGGGGGCCGACGTCGTTCCCGAGCGAGGAGGTGCCGTTCGGAGGCGCCGGGTTCCGGGCCGGCGGCGCCGCGGCGAGGCTGAGCCCCTCGCAGCTCGCCGGGTTGGTCCAGCCCCCCGTGTGGAGCGCCACGCTGCCCAGGGCCGGAGCGTCTCCCCTGCAGGGCTACTCGTCCGTGTACGGCCACCTCGCCCCCGCGCGCCCTTTCCCTCTCGACGCACCCCCCTCCTTTGCGGCGTTCGGTCCGGCTCTGCTGAGCGGGCAAGCCCCGCCGCCGCATCCGCCGCTGTCGCCGCTGCTGCCGCACGTCGGCCCGGCCGCCCGCTCGGGTTTGGTGTACCAATCGGCGGGAGGCCTCTGCGCTCTGAGCGAAGCTCCAGCCGCCGTCGGTCAGGGGGCGTACTTGGTCGCCAGAAGTGTACCTTCTCTGGGCATTGCCTATCAGCCTGGACCGCCGGGTCATTGTGCCCCGGGTCAGCCGTTCCCTCCCGACGTGCTCGCTCGGAGCGGCGAGGGCTCTGGCGCTAGTCTTCCGGCTCCTGCAGAGGAGCGGAAGGCATCTGCGCTCAACTTGGCCCCCATCTCGCACGCCGTGGAGTTACCCTCCGCGTACTCTCCCATGCCTCCTCCTCTGCACGTGGCCTACCCGGCCGGGTGGAACACAGTTGCTGGGGTGCTGGCACCTTCTTCGCCCGCGTTGATGTTTTCCTCTGGGAAGGAATTCCACGAAGGTCAGGTCGGTTTGATGGCAGCTCCCGTGCCGACGCAAGGCTCTTCGCAGACCAGATTTCCCTTCCCTTTCGCCGACGTCGATCGCCGCAGAGACGTCACCTCGGCAACTGCTTCGTCTCCTCCCGCTTACCAAGGACCGCCGCCGCCGATGGGTCGGCCATCGCTCGCCGCTCACGTTCACCAGGGTAGGGAGGGGTGCTACGCGCCGGGTCAGGTTCCGCTCGGCGGGCACCGTTCCTCCCCGGCCGGCGCCGCGTCCCCCTTCCGGAGTTTCCTGCCGCAGCCGGGAGAGGGCTTCCCCGCCGCGGCGACCCGGCCGCCCCTTGCTGGCCTCGTGTGCCAGGCGGGCACCGAGCCGCTGCTGCCGGCGCTGCTGGGCACGGCGCAGGGCGTGCTCGGAGTCCCCGTGGTGCAGCTGCTCCTCCCGGCCACGCAGTTCTCCGCGCTCGCCCCGGCCATGACCTTCATACCCATCCAGGGCATCGTGCGGGGGCCTCTGCAGGGGACCGCAGCCTCGCCCGATCGGCCCGACGGCCCCGCGGGGGAGCACGCGGGCGGCCTCGGCATCCCCGCGGGCTCGGGCGACGGCGGGCGCCCGCGGCCGGCGCCGTCGTCGTCGCCGGCGCCGGCGGTCGCCTGCTCTCGCTGCCCTCGACTCTTCCCGAGCGCGGCTCTCCTCTGGCTGCACGTGACCGCCGCGCACGCCGAGGCCGGGGATCGCGCGCCCCCGGGCGACGGCGCGGCCCGTGCCCCGGCGGCCGCCAGCCCGGAGCCGCGCGGCGCTCGGACGCTTCTGGCGGCGCAGGAGGCCGGACCCGACGGCACGGGCGCCGTCGCGCCGCCGGTCACGCAGAGCGGGGCGGCCTCCTCCGTGCGCTCCCAGGGGCTGGGCGGCAGCGGCGGCCGCCTCCAGGCTCCGAGGAGCGAGACGGAGGGGCGGGAGTCGCCTTGTCTCAGGGAGCACCAGGGACCGGAGCAGGGCTCGGGTCATTAGCTGCTGCTGCTGCTGCTGGGACAGGTCGAGGGGTGGTAGGGGGTGGGGGGGACCAACGTGGAAGTTGATTATTTAAAATGATATTTTGCTGTGCCATGTCATGGAGACCTTGTTCACTTAAAACAAGTCTATTTCTCAGCTGTTTTTGTATTGTACCTGTAGGTCGTTGTCAACATTCGCTGGACGCGCGTGTCCATTGACGTTGGTATTGTATAACATGAAGATGTTTCGCCCGTGACAGTATGTAAATATGGGGGTATATTTATTTAATAACAAAAGCAGTGGTGGAAAACTGACGATGAGTAATAGTAAGTAATTTTTCATGAGCTCCGTCTTTGATCACCGTTGTCTTGAAGCTGTGTTTATTTATTTATTTATTTCCCCGAGGTCATTGTTTTTCACGTGAGACCAGAGACAGAGTCACTTCTTGTGAAGTGTGAATCCTCGTCACGAGTTCAGTGGTGGTGGTTTTTTTACATTCGCTCTAGAAGAATCCAACCGTAATTGTCGTTTGCTAGCTACCGTATTATAGCGTGCGGGGTTTTTCTTTGAAGTTGTGGAACGTTTTTATTAAAAAAAGGTAGTTTCCGTACATGGGAGGTTTTTATGTAAATTAAAGTTTACACTTTTTTGGTCTTATTGTTGTGAACGGAGGCTGAAGTCTTGTTGAAAATTGCAATGCTGCACTTGTCAATATTTTTATATAGATTAAAGTAAATAAGTGAATAAATCTTGTTCAGTGTAAAAAAAAAAATAACCCTGTGGCAGTTATCGTGGATGCGGCGCAGTTTTTGACTTGGCAAGTTGAACTCTTGCCCGCCCATCGTCGATCTCCATCAACACACTGAAGTCGACGCCATTCGTTTGTCAGACACAACATCGCTGGCCGGAGGGTGAGTGAACCTTGGTTGCTTCGTCTGCACGAGGAAGGCGTTCATCATCATTTGAAGCATCAACCCCACGACTCTGATGGGAGATTATTTTTTTCGGGGTGGGCGGGCGGGGGGGGGGTCTCTATATAGCCTGTTGCATCGTGTACCACTTGACAACGTGCATCGGAGAGCACGAGACCACGAGAATCCCTGCGCAGTGCCATCAACCCACAACCCGTGTACTCTTCATCGAGGCTCTTAATTGCACTTCACATATATAACCAGCAGATGGAGGTGCCTCATCGGCGGTAGATGACCATGAAAGTCCAAGCACAATCAAGATTACTCATGCCCACTAATTGGGCATTTAACATACAAATACAATCATTATCATCAGTCAGCCACGGTTAATCCACTGCTGGAGGAGGTCTTCCTCAAGTCGGCGTCATCCTCCACGGTGCCGTGATCGAGCGATCCACCCGGCACCAGCACACGAGCCGATATCATCGCCCGGTCTCCGCAGCGGATGCCCTCTTGTGATTGAGAAGAAAAATATTATTCATCGGTGAACGTTTTCCCATTGAGTGCCGGTGAGAAACGATTTGCTCAGTGGCAGTTCCACGAATTGGGAAACCTCACAGTCTAAAGTTTCCAATATACAAACACATAATGGGTGTCATTTTGAAGATGGTTATGTACTGAAGAGTTTTAGAAAGTGTGATTTAATCATAGCATAAGTTAATGGTTTGATAAACACACGAGACATTGAATGCACCATCACCACCCCAGCTGGATGGAAAACAAATTCAGTTTGTCTGAGTACGTCCAACATTGTGGTATTTTGAGATCATTACTTATTAAAAAAAAAGTGGACCAATTATTTCCGTCTGCTTTATAGTACTATAATTAGTTTACACACTACGCTCAAGTTATGTCCACTTCACCAATATACTAACGATCACCCAAAAAAAATAAAGTGTCTGAAATGTGCGTCCAATATCTGGAAAACTGCCCTCTGGTTCATTTTATTGGGTATTGACTTTGGGGGAGGCGGAGCGGCCACGCAGTGGTTGTGACCTCAGCTACCTGAGTTTGATTCCTGGCCCGTGTCTCCATGACCCCGGCGGTGAGTGATGCACGGAGCGGTCCAAGACCCCAATTCAGCAACCAGCATCGACCGGCGTGGTGAAGTATGGTCAACGATCCCCGTGACCGACACGGCATTGGGAGGCCTTCATCAAGCAGTGCATTGACAAAGGGCTGTAAATTTTTGTTTAAATACATCAAATTTGGATGAGAAAACATTCACAAAGTGTGCCCAAAAAAAGCATACATGTTCAAGTTCCCCCCCCCCCCCATTGACGCCACAATATCTCAAGCCAGTTTCATGAAAATCCATAATTTCGCTCATCACGACAACAGGATGCGCACATGTTGACATTCGAAACGACGTGAGATGTAAGTCTCCAGTTGCACTGTGAAATTAAACACTTAATGCAACGCTATCTTTCACAAGGATGTGGCAAAGGTGACCTGATTAGAATGCGTGTGTTATTAAGCTGCAAAGTATCGACGTGTGGCCGTGCCAAGCATTTTGTTGCTTTGCGACTGAGGTTGAAAGTGTTTATGCATTTGCTCTTGTCCAACAATCCATCCATTATGGGGGGGGGGGGATGGGGGGGGCATGATAACACTGATTAAGATGATCCAATATGAACCAAAGTAGAGGTACATTAATACCCCGGTTTACGTCGGGGATGCCTTCCTGAAAATTGCCACGCCGACGAAAATCGAAACGGCGTCAATCGAAGCGATTTACAAGGTGGGTGGTGGTGGTGGTGGAGGCTGAGAGGCGACGTATAACGAGAAAGGACGGGCGATGCCACCAGCGAGTGTGGGGTTTGAGGCGACACAAATCGGGTGGCGGTGTTAATCATAAAGTGACGACGCGTTTGCGGGACGACGTAAAAGGGGGAGAGGTAAATGGGGATACTGCTGGATTAGGTGGTGGTGTTTGGGGCTTGTCCTGTTAAAAATCAGCCAAATTAATAAAAAAGTTGACCAAAAAACTCGGAGCCTCAAAGCAGGGTAAAATTGACTATTGACAAATATGCAAAGTTTTTGCGCTAACAGCTACCCCGTCGGCTTCTGTACCATTATTACATGCTTCTAAAACCAAACACAGGTTGGAGAGTGTTGCAGAATGCCTATGCAGGCTTCATCCTAACTTACACATCGGTTGGAACACAGCCACTGCTGTTCCCATAATAAACGCAGGCCAGTGTGCTTGTGAAGGCATACACACTGGTGAGCTATAAAAACAAAAAATGTGGGTTACTCATGAAAGCCTACGTGTTAAACTGCTGAGTTTGTACATTGAAAGTGGCATCACCAAACTGAATATTCACATGGCCGAAAGGAGATCAACATTCCTGGTTTAAGTGCTCTTTGCCTTTCCTGACTTTTGCTTTTTCATTTTATTAACATTATAATTTTAACAGCCGTTTGGTAATCCCCTGCAGGATAAAGACCTCTCATTTTAGACCGGCAGCGCATAACACAGTTGTCACTTGGCTGCTGCTGCGCCACAAAAAAAACCACCGTTGTGCAGCGCTACACTTCAGCATCTGCGTTCCCGCATTTGCCAGCAAAGTGATGTACAGTCATTTCATCCCCAGTACCCGCATGGTGCGGTAGGGGCCTGCATTTAGCAAGTGTGTTGATAAAATATAGACTACTTGTGCACACACATTTTGTACATACCAGCATATTGCTAGTAAAAAAAGAAGTGTTTCATATTTATTGATCATATAACACAGCTGGGTTTTTTTTTGCTGTTCTGGCTTCTCTGCTTGTTCACTGTGGCTTTTATTAGTCCAGCATTGTAGAAAATGTAAAGGGTGACATAGACTGTGATCTCATGTAACTCAAGACCCACGAGTTAAAAGAATAGTTTATTATCTAGCAGTAAACATAAAAATAAACGTTTTTAATTTCACCAGGCTAAGTCCCACTGAGCTATACAGCTCTTTTTTTCAGAAGCGACCTGGCCACAAATGATAGCTCAATGAAATGGCTTATCATATGGAATTTGATTGCAGCCAAATCCTCCAAACGCGTGATGTTGATTCTAAATGTGGAGCGAAAAACCGGAGGAACCAGATACCACTTGCCACCGGTGTTAGGGCATGACCAGGAAGCGAACTCAGGTCACCATGATTGTGTTAATCACTGTGCCACTGTGCCATGCGACATTTGCTTAAGACACTAAAATCAAGGGCAAAATATGGAAGCAATGTCTCCTTCATATATCTGTTGCTCCACATCAAACACAGTATTTTTGTTTCACAAATCAACAGTCCCATGGCCTTCTGGAAGTGCATTATTTCAGCAACTTGAATCCAATAAAGCAAACCCTGGACCGGTTTTTGACAAACATTGCACTCAAATTTACGTTCAGCAGCCATGGATCAATGCTGCTGAAATTATGCGCTCCCAAAAGGCCGTAAGGCCGGAGGTTTGTGTCAAAGTTATGTTATTTATCACGTGAAGCGACAGATATATTGGCTTCTTAACTGTATGATTACTTACATTCTCCACAATGACACAAATTATTATATTTTGTTACAATTAAGGGCAGCTTAAAGAAATTCACACACGGGATTTTCCTATTCAGTACAATTCCACATTCCTCCGGTTTCACACGTGTATTTTATGACACAACCTGCAGGGTCTTTGTTTTCGTCTCAGCATAACTCGAACTTAATCTATATCTTTCATAACTTTAAAATATTCCACGAGCCAGTGCCAACATTTCTGAACTGACACGATATCATGAATTACACAGCCGTAAAGTGTCGGAGGGCTTCATATATACAGACCCACATTATTTACCCGGGCGCAGCAAGGTGGTATTTTGTCAGGGATGCCGCTTTTAATCGTGTATTTTAAAGCCAAAAAGACTAATAAATTAAGGAATAATAAAAACAAAAGTGAGCATGGGAAGCACTTGTCAAAAGAAGTAATGATGGCAGATGGTAAAGAATCACGACAGAGTGGCTGGCAGGGAATGGAATGCGTTCGAAAATATTGAGGTGGAAAGATAAAATGTCTTCACGTGGATGTAGTGGACGGATGATCATTATTATTGCATCGCAGAATCATGATAAATGGCAACGTCTTTGGGAGGCCTTCATTGCAGCAGCGGATTGAACATTGTTGATGATGAACAAATAATGAAGTCGTGCTTTCCCCTGCAAGCCGACACAGGGACGGTTGCTCATCACAAAACATCGTGCGGTGAGCGTTGTCCTCGCGTGAACTCAGAAGTGACGTCCCTGCAAAGGTCACGTGGTCCCCGACTTGATCAAAGTTTTAAGAGGCGCGGTTCGTCGTGCTGCGTGCGCGATCGCACCCGTGACCTGAGGTGGCAGTGGAAATTGAACCAGCGGCGGCAGCGATCGGGAGTGCGCAGGCGGTGCAACTGCACCAAGGCCCTCTTCGGGCCCCCCAGGCTTGAGGGGCCCCAAGCCTAGGGCAATGAAAAGTCGAGACACTGGACCAGCGTCCCCATTCTATTGCACCATGATCCATGCCCGTACGGTGCCAAAGAAGGTCAACATACACACGTGGAGGTTGTATCACTGCCCACGACGTACACTCACCTAACGTGGTGGACACGGCGTGACACGGAGAGTCAGGAAGTAGAAACAAGTCCCTCTGATTGGTACCTAACGGGCCTGAATGTGGATTCATTAGAGGCAGGGAATTGAGAGGAAATGAAGGGAGACACACAACATGGAAAGGGCGAAAAACGGAGGGTGATTGACAGGGAGGTCGGTTTGGATCGGTTCGGGATACTGGAAGGGCGATTGGCTGGAGGAACAGTGGGTCAAGGAACCTTCGAGAAAGGGGCATGAGGGTTATATGAAGAGAAGAGGCGAGAGCTCGGGACGCTTGGAGAAAAAGGGGAATCTTTGAAGACGTCTGTCTTGTGCCTGAAGAAATAAAGACGCCTCCGGTTGAAGACTGCTGCTGTGATGGTTGTCACTATACATACATACACGTCACTACACACACACATACATGTATGTGTCACGACACACACATGCATTCATGCCAACCGTGCTACAACTCCCGCACTCAGTGCAGTTCACTACCAGCATTCAAATTATTTTCTAACTGTACATGCAAGCAAACCGTCACAACTTGAGACACGAGTCAGGACACTTGTGTTCCTGAAGTTGTTGTTCAATATGTCAAATTCACGTTCGTGTTTGATGGCCATCACAGCTTGACCCCAATATATTGTCTGCACTATGAACTCCTATCCCAGTTAGTATTCTACAAGCTTTGGAATTCTTGACTTGGAATGAGTTTTTAAAAATGCAATTTCAACACTCTAAATTGTTCGAAACTAAAAAAAACAGTATCAGCCTTCTTATCCATTGTAATATAGGGGGTGATCATTGTTCATGGGGAATTATCTGTGAATCATAAAGGTCTACCCCGACTCCTTATTATACCAGTGTTATAACTTACTGTACAGGTAATCAGTCATTCATGCTAAGTGTAATCCCTAACAAAGCCTTAAAACGTGATAATGTGATCAGGATGGGTAGTTTGTTGTGGCTTGGCATTAACGCGAGGAAATGTTGAAGGCTTCTTGTGGCTACTAGTTTGACAAGAACAAAAAACCCCCAATCGCAATGGCATCCAGACAGGTCATTTTAAAATAATAAAAATATAAAACAATAAAATTATCACGACGTTTCGACTGCAACACAAGCAATCATCATCAGGTGTGAAAACCAGAACAAGAAAATTTGAAAAAAGTGGCGGTAAAAAAAAGTGGCGGTTAAAAATAACCGCCACTTTTTTCAAATTTTCTTGTTGTGGTTTTCACACCTGATAATGATTGCTTGTGTTGCAGTCGAAACGTCGTGAGAATTGTATTGTTTTATATTTTTATTATTTTATTGTTTTCCTTCTACGTGACTTTACCGAAA